ATATATATATATATATACACACACATACAGTTGAAGTCATAATTATTAGCCCCCCTTTGAATTTTTCTTTTTTTTTTCTTTTTGATAATATTTTTCCTCTGGAGAAAGTCTTATTTGTTTAGCTAGAATAAAAGCAGTTTTAAATTTTTTAAACCCCATTTTAAGGTTAAAATTATTAGCCCCTTTAAGCTATTTTTTTCGATAATCTACAGAACAAACCATCGTTATACAATAACTTGTTAACTAATTACCCTAACCTGCATAGTTAACCTAATTTAGCTAGTTAAGCCTTTAAATGTCACTTTAAGCTGTAAAGAAGTGTCTTAAAAATATCTAGTCAAATAGTATTTATTGTCATCATAGTAAAGATAAAATAGATCAGTTATTATAGATGAGTTATTAAAACTATTGTGTTCAGAAAATTTACTCTCTGTTAAACAAAAACTGTGGAATAAATAAACAGGGAGTCTTATAACTCAGGGGGGCTAATAATTCTTCAACTGCATTAACACCTTTCCGTTAAACCAACTGCAAGCCCTGATGGTTGGTATGATTACAGCTAAAAAGATGATCTTACTTGATTGGAATTCTCTAAAGGCTCCCTATATTAAGAGATGGTTAAACGGGTTGCTTTATGTCATTCAAATGGAACAACTACATCTTAAAACTTCACAGAAAAAAACCTGAAACCACATGGGGACCTATCTTAAGACTCTTGGGAATTTAGCATTATAAGTTTGTAAATCTTAATCTTTATTTCTAACCTATATATTCATGACACTGGCTTTCAAAATTTGTTTAAATTTGTTTGTCTTTTGTTTATATGTTTATGCTACATATGCTGTGTGTGTGTGTGTGTGTGTGTGTGTGTGTGTGTGTGTGTGTGTGTGTGTGTGTGTGTGTGTGTGTGTGTGTGTGTGTGTGTGTGTGTGTGTGTGTGTGTGTGTGTGTGTGTGTGTGTGTGTTAATATATTTGGTAACAGAGACGATCCTTCCTTTTTATGGTGTTGGGGGGGTATTGTCAATTATTCTGTGCTATTGTTTCTTCTTTTTATTGGTATTGCACTGTTTTGTTAAATATCATATAAATGTTAAAATAAAATATTACAAAAATAAAAAACACATTCTTGCTTTAAAACTTTAAACAACACAGTGCAAATGCATGTATGTGTTGTTTAGCAATGTGCAAAATGCAGTTCTTGATGCAAGAAGTTTCTCTAATTCCCCAGAAAAAATAGACTGGGCAGGCTTGGATACCAAATAACTGCCCCTTAAATTGTGTAAAGCACTTTTTATTTTCAAGCACAACAAACTTCCAATGTGCTGTTGTACATTGTTCTTCAAGTTGGACATTTTCTAAATTGCATTATCATCGTACAACCCTGTAAATTCAGAGTACTACATTATGAAGTGCAAATATACCACGCAACTGTACTTTATGTACCAGTCTGCTGCTGTAAAACAGTGAGAAACTGTTAGCTTCGCTCAGATGAATCCATCATTATTAAACTAACACATGCTCAAAAACATGAATGCACCACTGATTCTACACAGCAGATGTTGTGCTGCACGACAAATGAAAACTCAATGGATTGAGACACTGTTCGCAGAGAGGGCCGGCTTCCCCACTCATATTACATTATACTGTCGGCTTGTGAGAATTACTCATACTGTGGCCTGACGACTTAAGCAAAGTGTAAAGGCCACGTTTACACTGTAAGTGAACCGTGTGTTTGTTTATTGAGACTCAAGTGTATTCTTCTTTAAGTAGGAAGCTGTGTTTTTTGTTTTAATGAATGGCTTTCTTCCTAGAAACATGGGCTTTGTGTGTGTTTCCAAAGGGATGAGTGGGCAGAGGCGATCCAGATGGTGGCAGATAAACTCCAAAGACAGGAAGAGGAGCGAATCCAGTGTAGTCCCACCTCACAGATAGACAACATGGGAGAGGAGGAGATGGACACGTCTATCAGCCACCACAAACGCAAGGTGCCTGCACACACTGATGTGGGAGTTCTTTCAAAATGCCTCGGTTTTCTGATTGTTTTGTTACCACCAGGCTATCCAACATGTCCATCACTTTCTAAACCAAAGGCAATGTAGTTTTTTCCCTCTCCCCATCTAATGCAGGAGATTAACAAAGCCCGTTTGGGACTTCATTTGTGACCAGACATGAATTTACACCTGAAACATAATTACCCGAAATGGATTTTAATCTCTTTAAAGGCATTTTCTGTACCTGAAAATAGAGTCAGGATGTTGACCCTAATAATTATTCAAGTTAAGGAGAGAGAAAGGGGGAGATATCATTTTTAGGTTCACTGTTTTTTACAATTAAATAACAAAAACATTATCTTTGAGAACATTCTTTTAAAAAGTCAAAACAAGCTCATCATCATTTAGCGAACATAATATTTTATTAATTACCTAAATTTATATAAATTTTTGTAATAAATATACCAGCTTACACTATTCAAACTCCACTTTCAGTCCAGTGGCTATACAAGCCCCCAAAACATACAGTAAGCCGTGCTTCCCATAGGTTTGAAATATACTTGTGGTGGTAGTCGGATTGAAAGACACCTTTGACCCACGGAACCTAAATAGTTAACTTTATGCGACAAACAAAATTTTTAACACTATTTTTATTATTATATGTTTTAAACTTTTTTATATTCAAAGGGTTAAAGTAAAAAACTAAATTCACTAATTCTCTGCTTCAGGAGCCATGTGCACCCACTGACAGGTAAATTCTGCTTCTCTCTATCTCTCATTTAAGTTGAGGTTGCTTTATTGGCATGACCTTTTGCACAATATTGCCAAAGCATTTTAAATGTATAAAATGTCATATATTGACATCCTCAAATTAATCAAATATACAGCAAATGAGAAATAAATGACAGAAAAAAGGGAATAAAAACAGACAATATCTCTAAAAATTATAATACTTACAAGAATAAATGTGTAGATTATTTAAATAGGACAAATGAGTTTACCCATTTCTAATGGTGTACAAATATTCATACAGCCAATTTAGGTGTAATTCCGTTCTCTCCAAGTATTTAGTATAGTTTTTCTGAGTCATTTAGTTTAAAGAATTAATTATTTAGGTCTCGCTTTCGCAGCTGTGTGCATAAAATTATCAACAGCTTCGAAAACTAAAGGAAAACCAAATCCTGGACATTTTAGTAGATTTACAAACCCTAGTGGGATGCAAACAGGTCTGGGTCTCTGCTGGTCTGCAAAGCATTTGAGATTGTCTGTTGTGTTGACAGTTTTCGCACACACAGAACGCGCAGTATGACACGGGCGAAGGAGAGAAGATTTTCCACTACTTAATCGCTCGCGGATGTTTGTTTATATTGTGCGGTCACAAAAAAAGTGCTACAAGATGATAATAATAGTAAAAAAATATATATGAATCACTAAATATACTAGTGCGGCAGTTAATATGCCTAAGCGGCCCGTCCAAGTAAAGTCTAAAGTAGAGCTGTAATCAGGCCATAAAAATAAGGCCGAGCCGGACAGGTGCATTTTGATTGACAGCTTTTAAAAACCCAAACTGTTTATAGCACGTCATTATTCAAATGTGCACATGCACACAGCTCTTTTGTCTTATTTTCAAGAACGAGTCATTTATATGTTTTAACATAATTTATTCGTAACAAACGTAGACTATAGACCACTTGGAAGTTGGAACAAAGAAATAAAATAAGTCCTCTCTAACTTCATTTCAGCACTCTAAATAGGCTTAGGTACATACACCTTGCCTTTAAATTGGCCAACACACCAATGAAAAGACGTCTTTCTTAACAAATTAAATTTATATAAATTCAAAATTATGACTGGTATTTGGCAAAAACTAAATTAAGATAAATGCTCTGCAAGATTTGTTTCGCCACTTCTCTTCACAATCTGGCATTAAAGCCACGGTGAAGCTGAAAAATAAAATAATAGCCTAATGCCAACATTAGCCTGTATACTCTGTCTACATTATGATTTTATGGTTCAATTAATATTCATTTATAATTGTAAAACCCTTTACTCACCATGATTAGGCTACGTGTTTTGTGGAGGAACATTATTGAAGCCGCGGGCAGTCCTGTGCTCAGGATGGTGTGTCCAGCAGCATTGAACACCCTTTCACTGCTGCTGCTACAGGCCGAGATGCATAGTTCTGATCTGGCAAATTTTGCAAGTTTTTGGTAGGATCGTTTGCTCATCTTCCACCAGTCAGGAACATCCCTTTAATTTTTCCATGACAGCACTTTCAATGTAGTGAGTGACCTCGTCTTTTTACCTGTCAGCTTGCTGTTTAGCGGTCTACCGTAATACGCAGTGTATGAGCGACCGCAGAAATACCTTGACGGCAAGCTGGCCTGACCGCAATCAAAATCTTTCTTTTTGACTTCTCCGTCATCATTTGTTTCACCTTTGCAGGGATGGATTTGGATGTTGTAACAAACGATTTGATTACTTTCTCACGCTAATCGAAATGCATCACATGACTATTGATTTACCTACTGCGCAAGCCAAGCTCGGCCAGACCCGACACTGTCTAAAATTATAGAAATCAAACCCGAACCGGGCAAAGATCTTCAGCTCTTGTCTGCAGTTTGTGTGGGAAGCACTGAGTAGGTACAACACTTAATGCCCCTTGCTCTAACAATTATTTTTTCTCACTTTGTCGTACCAGAGAGAAAATTAATTTAAGAGAGAATTAAGAAATATGTATTTTGAGTGAAATGTTCATTTGTGTTTAATTCTATATATTTCTTGGAATCCTCAAAATCTCATCAAAATTATTATTATTATTATTTATTTATTTATTATTATTATTATTATTATTATTATTTTTGCTTTAAAAATAATACAAAGGTCAATTGAAATAATTGTTATGTTTGTGGACCTAATATACTGGGGAAACAAGTGTATGCATATTTGTATATATGCATTTTTTAAATGTACATTCTATTTCCTCAGTATTTAAGGCATGAAACATGGGATATTTTAGAATTTTGGTCATATATAAAAATATAAATAAGTCTAATACAGCTTAATATTTCCTCATACATTACAAAGTGTCAAATTTTTCTGACCAAAAAATAAAGATTGTCACATTTTCTTATGGTGATTTACAGAAGACTCCCACTAAAATGACATTAACTTTAACAATTGTTCATTCATTCATTCATTCATTCATTCATTTATTTTCTTTTCAGCTTAGTCCCTTTATTAATCTAGGGTCGCCACAGCGGAATTAACCGCCATTTTATCAAGCATATTTTTTACGCAGCGAACGCCCTTCCAGCTGCAACCCATCACTGGAAAACACCCATACACACTCACACTCACACACACACACACACACACACACACACACACACACACACACACACACACACACACGAACACGAGGAGAACATTTAAACTCCACACAAACCAAATAATGTTGCCAACTGACCCAGCCAAGGCTCGAATCAGCGACCTTCTTGCTGTGTGGTGATCTTGCTACCCACTCCGCCACAGCGTCGACCCAATTGTTTGTATACACTTTAAAAAATGCTGGGTTCCATACAATTTTTTCATGTTATCCCAACACAAAATCTATTAACAAAACTTAATTGTTTTTACAAATTAAAGTGGATTGAACATTAAATAATTGAGTTGTTTCAAAAAAACTTAAATAGATGTGTTTCAGCTCATTTTAATAAAGTAGCTTGAATAAGCAGCAAAAATGCTTTTTTGAGTGCTCTAAAAATCTTGTCAGGCATATTTTGCCCAAGAATCATTTGATGTAAGATTTAGCCTTGAAATATAAATTAATTGTCATTTTTTAATCTAGCAAGATGTGTTTTTTTTTTAAATAAAATAAAAAGTATGTATTATGAGTTAATTTATATATTTTATTAGTACAGGTCAGAATAGATTTGTCATTTTTTTTTGCATTTGTTAAAATATGTTATAATATTACACAATCAGCTTAAAATATGTTTATAAATGTTTTTAAATTATATTATGTTAATATTACACAAAATTCACTTAAACTTAGGACAAAATATAAAATGCTTTTGAAAAGGTCATGAAGAAATGTGGCAGATTCTAAAATAAGAGAAAAATCATTCATTCATTTTCTTGTCGGCTTAGTCCCTTTATTAATCCGGGGTCGCCACAGCGGAATGAACCTACAACTTATCCAGCAAGTTTTTTACGCAGCGGATGCCCTTCCAGCCGCAACTCATCTCTGGGAAACATCCACACTCACATTCACACCCACGCTCATACACTACGATCAATTTAGCCTACCCAATTCACCTGTACCGCATGTCTTTGGACTGTGGGGGAAACCGGAGCACCCGGAGGAAACCCATGCGAAAGCAGGGAGAACATGCAAACTCCACACAGAAACGCCAACTGAGCCAAGGTTCGAACCAGCCTTCTTGCTGTGAGGCAACAGCACTACCTACTGCGCCACTGCCTTGCCCAGAAAAATAATTTATTATTATTATTATTATTTTGTTTAAGATTTTTGTTTACATCCATGTCATAATATTTTTTCACAAAAGTTATTTTAAACATTTTAAACATGCAGACACTAGTAAATAATCAAATTTTCTGTTTATATTAAATGACTTTTGTTCATTTAATTTGATGCAGGCACCAATATACAATATCATACACAGTAAACAGAAATACGATTATCTCCACCAGTTTATGCTGTAGCTGCTATTTGGAGCTTGTTGTCCCTTTCTCAAGTGAATAAGATCTTGTGATAATCAGGCTTTATTTTCAATTTGCACACTCCCAGACAACCAGTTTATAATTGTTTTACAAGAAATGCTTCATGTAGTGTCGTAGAATTCAGTTTTCTTTCTGGAGCTGGAGCTCTGTCAATGTACGCCTCCAGCTGCAGTTATGCTGCAACCCCGCCGATCCAGGATATATTAAACTAAGCTTACGACTCAATTGCACAAAATTATGAAACTCTCTGGATAATGTGTTTTAGGGCAGTGCATTTCTCAGAGTTTCATCATTTTTAAACAACAAGCTCATGTACAAACATGTCAGTGTGTTGGTGGCGGTGGAGTCTCTGAGCAGCAGGATTTCATCCCCGCAGCAGATTTGTGATTGTGTTTCTAGAGATGTGGACGTGCTATCATCCAGTTACATTAACAAAATAGAAATGTAGACCATAATTATTGTGCTCTGCATTTCAGTATGTCTGACAGCTTATTGCGTTTTCTCTCTTTTTTTCAGACAATGAATGACTTTGACTACTTAAAATTACTGGGAAAAGGCACTTTTGGAAAAGTCATTCTCGTAAGGGAGAAGGCCAGCGGGAAATATTATGCAATGAAAATTTTAAAGAAAGAAGTTATTATAGCAAAGGTAAGATTCATGAAGAATGTTTCAATCATTTCATTTAGAAAATGCCTTACTTTCCAGAATATAAGTCAGATTTCCTCTTCATCTAAAAGGTTTCATGACGTGCATTATGCAGTGAACATTAAGCATTCAAAATTGTTGGATTGGTCCTGTATGACAGACATATGACTATATTAATAGTGCTAGTTTGTCCTGTAATCTGGGGGTGTATTCAGTTAGGACCTAATTTAGGGCTAAAACTGTTAAACGGCAAGAAAGTAAAGTGCACTTTGATAAAAACAGATATTTATTTTGCAACACAGGCACATTGAAAATACATGCTTCAGCCTACATTTTTTGTTAAACCACAAATACATACTTTAACATACGTTAGTGTGTAGGTAAAGCGAAAGCAGCATGATGCAAACAGCTTATGTTTATTTTGTTTCACATATACCTAATGATACCTTCTGGGACACGTTATCGACTAATAAAATATTGTTTTGATGCAGTTCAGGTGGTCTGTTTAAGCCCGCCCTTTACAAGAAGGATGTGTATCTAAAACACAATAAAACGCACTCTGTTAACTATTTCAGATTCATAAATGCACAAACAGTGCCCTCTAGTGGATCTGTCATCTGAAACGTCGAGTGAAACTTAACCATAGCACTGTATTTTACGTTTTGCTAAATAGTAGCCTGAGGCGCATATTTTCAATGAGCCTGGGTTGTTATTTTGAAATGATTGTCATGAAGACGCAAAAGTCTCTCTGTGTACATAATATGATGAAAGCTTTTCTCTACATAAATCAGAAAAATGCTTGAGAAGGGACTGTTAGATTGATGTGTTCTAATACAGTGTGACAGCAGACAATGAAAACTTATGTTTGCTGTAAGGATATCAGTTTCTACAAGTTTCCATGATTGATCATTGTTTATTTTGTGCTTTAAATGAGGGGTGCCCAAATATGGTCCCGAAGGGCTGGTCTCCTGCATATTGTAGTTGCAACCCCAATTAAACCCACCCTTAACCAGCCAATCAAGCTGTTTCTAGATATACTAGACACTTCCAGGCAGGTGTGTTGAATGATGTTGGAGCTAAACTATGCAGGACACCAGTCCTCCAGGACCAAGTTTAGGCACTCCTGCTTATAATTAATAAGATAGTTGTAAACCTTAAAAATGCACAATGTATTCAGACTACTTTTTATTTGCTATAATAATGCTGTTTTACAAATGATAATAAATTGAGATCATACTTTTTTAAAGTAAATAAATATGTATTATTACACCCATAAAAAGCTTCTGGAAGAATCCAATGAGCATTATACCTTTAAAAATGTCCCTTAACGTCGCTTCCTTCAAGTATTTTTCTATACAAAATTCCTGACGTTTTTATTTTGTAAATAACTGGGCAAAATACATATGCAAAATACATACCAAATTAAATTTGTTCCAAAAAGAGGTTTTTGTGGTCAAAAATTAAGTTTGACCCACTCCCTTTATTCCGATGTACTCCCAGCCCATTTACCATGGCCTTATATACTGTATGCTGTTTGCATTTAACAAATTGAATAAACAGTATTTAAACTTAATAAAAGCATCCTTTCAGAAATTAAATAAGCATTTGGTCATCAGTTTGAGAGTACATTGAAAATAAAAATCTGTAAATATTACTACTAATTTATTTTCTACCTACAAAAAAAGATAGGACCCTGAAGATTTTGTAAATGGTAAATTGCTATATTTCATCAATTTATACCTGTACGCCAGTGTTTTGAAGTACTAACGTCTACACAACGTAGCTTTGTTACACAGGCAAAAACACAACCAAAAGCATGTGTGGATGAGAAAGTCACACAATGAACCAAAGCTCATCACAAACAACTTTTCTCACAAAGAAGCATACTAATATATAGAAGGTGCTCAGTGTCATTTACACCAGTTTTCTCAACCACATTCTTGGTCGACCACCAACTCTGCACATTTTCCATGTCTCCTTAATCAAACACACCTGATTGTGATGATCAGAGACTGAAAGACCTGCAGTGCGCATACAGTGTTAGTGGTCTACCAGGAACTTGGTTGAGAAACACTGACATACACTACTAACCACCAAAATGGTAACACAGAAAATTAAAGTAATGCAATGAACATTGATCAACATTAGATATAACATACATCTCTAATCTACATATCTCATGAGAAAACAAGAAAGAAAAAAAAAAAGTCAACGTATTGTCAACAAAAAAAGCATAAAGAGTGAAGTGTCATGCTGGGAGTACTGGGAAAATCAATATGCTTTTTCGTCATATAAAGGAAACTTACTGTTGAACAGGTTACAGATTTTTACTGTATCCTTTTTTCAGTTGAAATCAATGAGATTCTTCACTGTAGGTGGTCTTTAGTCTGTCTGAACACATTTTGACTACATGAGCATTTCCACTGTGAAAGCAATCTGGGGTGCGTTTCCCAAACAACAACATAACTCACGGCTGAACTATCATAGTACGATGCATCATTCGGGAAATTACCAATGTAGTGACGAGTGTTTCCCAAAACCCCCCCAAAAACTTTCTCTATCGCAGATCCATCGTTTGAACCACGAACGTTTTATAACATAAAACTCCCATAATAATGCTGTAAACGAGGCGGAGTAACAACTTCTTTACAGAAAATGACCATAATTTAGTTTGACCAATATTAGTTTTAATCAAAACAAGCACTCGTTTTCCAAATTAACTGAAAAATATGTAAACGGCTCATATAAGATCAATGTTTCCTTTACAAATATTATTGAAAATATTCCATATTCTTATCTCATATATAAATCATATGATGTTTGTAATTTACAGCAGGCTATTTATTAAGAAAAGTAACAATAATAATAATAATAATAATAATAATAATAATTCATTAATTTTGTTTTCGGCTTAGTCCCTTTATCAATCCGGGGTCGTCACAGCGGAATGAACCGCCAACTTATCCAGCACATGTTTTACACAGTGGATGCCCTTCTAGCTGCAACCCATTTCTGGAAAAATAATAATAATTGTTATTATTATTATTATTATTATTATTAAGTAGGATATTGTTTATTTTTTCTTTTATTTCATTTTTAGAAACATCTACTTTTACAACTGTGACACATTCAAACCACTGCAGAAATGTCCTAACCACTAGGCTTATGTCATACACAGTAGGCTACAGAAACATTTCATAATCAATAACCTTCTATAAATGAAAAGCATTAACGTATGCTATATATTTTTGTTTTCACAAGCTTTATAGATGTAATGTAAATTCTGCTCAAGTCACTTTTTTGCCACGGCTGCATTCAAAAAGTCATAAATGTATTCAAAGTGCACTACGAAGGCAGCGTAATTGTCATTATGAAGGTCGTTAAAACTGAACAGTAAAAATATTTTGACTGTAAATTAACCCATAAGAGAGATTACTTTAATGCTTTTTTTATTTTCTGTAAATCATTCCGAGTTAAAATGTTGGAACATTCTAAATGAATAGGGCATGGGGTGGATAACTGGGCATAGAACACAACCAGGAACTATACTTAACTACAGCTCTAGAGATGTAGTTACAAGCGTAGAAGTTTTTGATGCAGTTTGGGAATATTCGTTGGAACGATGGATTTGGTAAACGGCAAAGCAACAAACTATGTTTTTAAAGCTGAAATTTGCGACCTTAGTTGTCTAACGAGGGTTTTCGCAAACGTAACCCTGGTCAAATGCTGAAGAGTTGAAGTCAGAATTATTAGCCCTCCTGAATTATTAGCCCCCCTGTATATTTCCCACCAATTTCTATTTAATAAAATTAAGATTTTTTAACACATTTAAACACATTTCTAAACATTTAGCTTTACTAAATCATTTCTAATAATTGGTTTATTTTATCTTTGCCATGATGACAGTGCATAATATTTAACTAGATATTTTTCAAGTGACTAGTTTTCAGCTTAAAATGATATTTAAAGGCTTAACTAGGTAAATTAGGTTAACTAGGCAAGTTATGGTAGTTAGGCAAGTTATTGTATGATGATGGTTTGTTCTGTAGACTATGGAAAAGAAAATATTGCTAAGGGGGCTAATAATTTTGACCTTGTTTTTTTTTTTTTTTAATTCAAAACAGCTTTTATTCCAAGCCAAATAAAACAAATAAGACTTTCTTTAGAAGAAAAAATATTATAGGAAATGTTGTGAATAATTCCTTGCTCTGTTAAGTATCATTTGGGAAAAAAAAAAAAAAAAAAAAAAAGATTCACAGAAGGGCTTATAATTTTGACTTCTGGAAGTAGTCAAAAGTGCAACACTCCAACTCATAACACTCCAGACCACAATTACATCTATATTTAGAAAATAATACCACAGCTATTTTCAGATGTGACTTGTTTTCTGGAAAGAACAGTGCACATTAGAAACGAGGCATGTTGTATTGTCTGCTGATAATCTAGGACACTTTGTAACAGTTATAGTGTCAATTTAATCTCATTCTTTACTTAGAAGTCCCAAGATGCTTTGTAATACAATCTCATTATATCCAGTACTCAAAAGACTGTCTTCACAGTGCACGTGTACCATAAGCAAACGATTTATCTCTAAAACAACAACGATCCACCTCTTCTTTCTTCCCATAGGACGAAGTGGCCCACACGCTCACAGAAAGCAGAGTACTGAAAAACACCAGACATCCTTTTTTAACCGTGAGTGCACGTTTCATAATTGTAACGATCATTCAGAGTGGATTCACAGAGACCTTAAAGCTTCGCAGTGCTTTTGTCTATATGATTGGCTTTTCCCTCGAGCCTCATTATAATGTAGAGAATAAACTGTAATAAATTAGCGGCCTAAACAGAGCTGTGCATCTGTTGAGAAGTCGCCAGCGAGAGGTAATTTTCTGACACTCCAGATGCTGTTGTATAGCACGCAACGTACACAGCAGGTTTAGCAAAAACAATTTACTACTGTCAGTCAAGCTGGTGTTCCCTCGTAAACTTCACCTTCCCTCAAAGTTAAGCATCAAGGCCTGCGAGAAGGAGCAGAGCTTTTCATTTTTTTTTCAAAACGCTCCTTTCATTTCCTCTGGAGGAAAACGCTGCTCTCGCTGCATACATTTTGATGAGCGTCTCTCAGGTTGCGTTTGTTTTAGTTTGCTGTGTGTGTGTGTTTTTTTTTCTTTCTTTTGTTTTGTTTTTCCTCTAATGGTGTATCCACCTGCTGTTTCAGTCTTTGAAGTACTCGTTCCAAACAAAAGACCGCCTATGCTTCGTGATGGAGTATGTCAATGGAGGAGAGGTACGTACATGTGTGTGTATGTGTGTGTGTCTTTTCGTCTGTGTTGTCAGACTGTCTATTTCTGTCGTAATGCCGTCACTAATATCTGCTTACTCTGTTGTGGCTGCAGTGAGCTATAAATGTTGATGTTAGCAGTGAAAAGTTAAGTGCAAGAGAGAAAAAAAAATGCACGATGATGATGTGTTATGATTCATTCACAGTTTGATAGGAATTTCTTGTGTATTCTTAGAAACAATTGATTTGTTATGTTTTGATGTCTAATAACTTTTACAGATATCCAGAACCAATATTTTTATATATTAGTTTGAATAGTAATATTCATAATAATAATAGTTTTTGAATAATAATAATAATAATAATAATAATAATAATAATAATAATAATAATAATAATAATAATAATTGTGTATGAATATTATCAAGTAGTAGCAAACATATTTTATATTAAATTATTATATCACTAAATTTATTTTTGCATTTTGTAGATTTTTTTGCAAGCATCATGGTTAAGAAATGTTTATTATTATTATTATTATTAATAGTAATAATAATAATAATAATAATGATGATGATGATGATATTTTTACATTATTTTATGCTTCCTAAAATCATAATAATTTGTATTATTTATTACATATTTATGTACCTTGCTTTTGCTATTAGCTATTGGTCTAAAATGTAAAATAATAGTAATAATAATATTGCATTACTATATAAATTAATGTCCAAATATCAATATTATATTATATTATATTATATTATATTATATTATATTATATTATATTATATTATATTATATTATATTATATTATATTATATTATATTATTTAATATATGTTGCATTTTTGCTAACTTAATGGTTAAGAAATGTTTCTTATTACTGTTTTTATTATTATTATTATTATTAGTAGTAGTAGTAGTAGTAGTAGTAGTAGTAGTAGTATTTACATTATGCCACCCAAAATAAAATAAAAAAATATTTAAGGGTCTAAAATGTAGAATAATATTAATAATAATGTTATATTAAATTATTAATTATTATAATTATAATTAATTAATTGTTAAATTATTTTTGCATTTTGTTCCTTTTTTCTCAAACTAAATGGTTAAGAAATGTTAATTATTAATATTGTTGTTATTATATATATATATATATATTATTATTATTATTATTAATATTAGTAGTAGTAGAAGTATTTTTTCTACATTATTTTATGCCACCAAAAATTATAATATTTAGTATTTTTTAATTACATTTTGATTCACCTTGTTGCAATTTTAATGGTATGAAATCTATAATAATAGTAATAATAATGTTATATTATATTATATTGTTAAATTATTTGTGCATTTTTTCCCACAAACTTAATGGTTATGAAATGTTTATTATTATTATTATTATTATTTACATAATTTTATGCATCCCAAAATCATTTTCATGTTCTAAAATGTATAATAATAATAATAATAATAATGACAATAAATATTTAATTAAAATTGAAATATTTTGTTTATTCAGCTGTTTCATACAAAGTTGTTTTGAAAACTAAATGTTTAGATATTTTTGGTTTATTATTTTGCAATCTCATTTGATAGAACAAATAAAGATTTTCAGGATCTAAATTGCAAACATATATTATTGGGTTTAGCTGTAGTTTAAGAATTCCATTTTTTCATTACCAACCTTTTTTTTGGACTAGGTGTATTTTAAAATTATAAATGCATGTAACATGAAAGGTTGAGCAATTAGGAAATAATACATTCCCTCTCAACATAGGTGTTGACTGTTGATCATAGCAGTGACCATTAATACAGCTTATACAGCCACTTACAGCCGGTCATATGACTATACATGACAGCATGTCAGTCAAACTGGCCTATAATAACTTTTTCAAACAAGAAAAAAAGATTTGTGATTGTGAAGTTTTGCCGCGGATGAACTTGGTAGGGGTTTGCCAGCATCGCTCTGTTGATATGGCAGAGCGCGCCATTCCATCTTGAGGGGCTCAAGTTTTGATAAATGAAATTCCACCACCAACGGAGCCATTTAATCAGAGAGTCGGCAATCTCACTCTCATTTTCCCCGAGCCTGCAATGTCACCTGCTCCCCCAGCCTGCTCCAGCCAGAGCCCCTGACCTCCGCCCGCTGCGCCCGTCCCATCCACAGCTGCCAGAGCTCTGATGAAGGCACACCTGTCCTCCTCCGGCTCTCCCGCGACACACATACTCAAACATCCCACAGCAATTAATACACAGACTTGTGGCTAATGTCTAAACGGCGGGTTCAAGTGGAGCTCAGGGCCAGACAGTTGACAGAAACCCTTGACATCTGACTTGGGATGCTCCGTAAAGATGCGGCGGCAGAGATGATTGCGTGGGACGGGCCGCCGTAATGGAGCGTTAGCCCATGAGCACGCGGCGCTGCCTTTAACAAGATTGGTGTATTGATTAAAATGCTGATTTAACAGGCCGCGCCGGTCTGTCTCTGGAAAGCCGGGGATGATGTGCCAGCTGCTGTCTGGGTTCGCTGGGCGTCCTCCGAGGGCCTCGCCATCTATCATCTCAATATGGCGATGTGAGGCAGTTTGTGTTGTGTTAATTTCCTCCAATAAATCAGTAATTATTGCAATCCTGTCCCTGCTGTTTACCCTGCAGCTGTTTTTCCATTTGTCGAGAGAACGGGTGTTCTCGGAGGACCGCACGCGCTTCTACGGCGCCGAGATCGTTTCCGCCCTCGACTACCTGCACTCTGCCAAGATTGTGTACCGGGATCTCAAGGTAAACACCAAAACGGGGAAGAATTCATATATTTAGAGAGAAGGTTTTGTTCCGTTGCTCTGCCTTTATCTGCGCGCATGTCATGGGATGCTGGAAATGTAATTAAAAGCTCTAGAGTTTGAAGCTTTTTTTTTTCTTTTGGTTTTTGGAAACATCAAACTCTGGCGGCTGTGGATGATGACACAGTGTTTTGCCCACAGCCTTGGACCAAGCCAGTTGTGGAAGTGCCAAGAAACTTGGACAAACAGCTTAGCCATTAAAATTGAAAGGTTAAATTAATGTGGCTCCAAGTTTCTTCGCACTTCCAGGGAATAAATACATTATCCATGTCTTTGTGGGCTTTTTTTGCTGTCATTAACGGTATGAATTAAGAATAGTGGCACGAGTTTTCTAAAAAAGTTATTGCAATTTAACACAAGCAGAACATTTCTATTCAAGAGTCCACAATAAGTGGCTTAATTGACTTTAAGAAGATCATTCATTACTTCATTCAGCTTTGTCCCTTTATTAATCAGGGGTCGCCACAGAGGAATGAATCTCCAACTTATGCAGCATATGTTTTACACAGCGGATGTCCTTCCAGCTGCAACCCATCAATGAGAAACACCCATACACAGACTATACACACTCATTCACACACATACACATTTAGTTGATTCAGGTCACCTATGGCGCATGTCTTTTGATTGTGGGGGGAACTTGAGCACCCGAGGCAAACCCACGACAACACGGGGAGAACATGTCACAGAAATGTCAACTGACCCAGCCAGGACTTAAACCAACAACCTTCTAGCTGTGAGGCGACAGTGCTAACCACTGAGCCACCGTGTCACCCAGGCTTCAAGATAATCCTAGATATTTTAAGACCAAACAGGCATTAAAATAAGTCAGTTTTTTACTAAAAAGAAATATATTTAATTTTAAATCACCTTGTCAACAACCTGAATATGTGGAAGTTTATTTTATAATTGTGATTTCAAGAGCTTAACACTAGAACTACCAAGGTACTGTAGTCATTTTCACAGTTTGTTTTGTAACAATTTAAAATAAAATAAAACGATAAAACAATAAAACCCTTATAACAATAGTTTCCTTATGTTTTCCTAATTGTGTGTTTATTTAATTCTAACATTGTTATTTTATTACAATTTCAAAACACAAGGGTTATATCATGTTATACCATGACCATTAAATTGACCACATGTGATTTAGCGTCTGCTGCTTTTCCGCCATCTTTGAGTATGTGTGCCTCTGTTTCCTACCAACTTTCAGATAACAAAAAAATCACTTTCAGATAGCAGAAACATTACTTTACTTGAGATGTGTCTTTCAAACTTTCAAAAATAAATCATTTCACTATGGTGAAAAAACTGATCCCCTGTTTGCCAGACAAAGTGAGCTACACACCTTCATGGGTGGTTTACTAACTGTCCCACCTTTTATTTTTGCTTTTGAATTGCATTTTGGCACTTTGATCTTTCTTCCAACAACTTTTAAACTTTAAAAAAGTTCAAAAAGTGACTTTTATGAACATTTTGAATAGTTTAATGGTACATTGTCTCGGTTGGTGCTGTATATCACTTACTTACTTACTTACTTACTTACTCCCAAGGGTGTTTACCTTGAAGTGTAATGTTTAGCCGCACTATGTTGATCTTTGGCAACATCTAATTTTTTTTTGCCAAATATATTTATTAACATTTTGTGCAGATACAATATCATATACACACAGTAATGTGTAATTCACTGTTCTGCTTTTTTACAACTAAGAACCAATGACCAAAACAATATAGTTATTAAATAGCACAGTAAATGAAAAAAAAAAAAAAATTATTTATATATATATATATATATATATATATAAAACAGTAAAATTCTTTTTTTCTTTTTTTTAGCTTAGTCCCTTTATTATTCAGAGGTCACCACAGCAGAATGAACCGCCAAACTCATCCAGCATATGTTTTACGTAGTGGATGCCCTTCCAGCCACAACCCAACACTGGAAAACACCCTTACACTCCTGCCTTCACACTCATACACTAAAGCCAATTTAGTTTATTCAATTCACCTGTACCACATGTCTTGACTTGTGGGGGGAGACTGAAGCACCCGGAGGAAACCCACACGAACACAAGGAGAACATGCAAACTCCACACAGAAATGCCAACTGACCCACCCGGGGCTTGAACCGGCGACCTTTTGCTGTGAGGTGACAGCATTACACACTGCACCATTGTGCCACCCCTGGTGCTGTATATTATGCTACAAAAACCTTGTAATAAACTGCCAGTACATTTTGCAGAATTATTTTGATCTATATTATTTTTTATGCATTATATTATTTCAAACTACTAAAATGTCAATATAGGTAACTTTGCTAAACTGATAAGTTGAATTTTCAACACCAAAAGTTGAGAAACTAAAGATCAACGTCCCATAATGCAAATCACAGCTGTAAGTCAATGGAAAGCACTTGTTGAATAACAAACTCAAAAACTTGAATCACAAAATACAAAATTTAGGTGTAAAAATGAGCAATATCACACTCGTAGCAGTGCGATATGGCTGTATATCGGCACTGGTGGGGGGACAACGCACGCCTCCCACCAGTGCCGTTATACAGCCATATCGCACTGCTACGAGTTTATACAACAGTTTGATGGCATAATTGTGTATATAAAAACAAAATCAAACATGGAGAGTCTCAAAAACCCTTTTGTATGAGGAACTACTTTCTTCCGCATTGGATTCAAATCATAAGCTGACAGTTGAACAAGCTGAGCAAGCATCTTTTAAACTTTAGATCTGTAATGTCTGATTGTTGCTGGCTGTATGTGGGCGGAGTAATACACAAAGGGTAAAGAGGGTGTACGGGTGCTGATATTACTTAAATATATCACGGCTATCAGCCAATTAGATTCGAGAACCAGACAGAACTGTTGTATAAATGGTCAGAACGATCGCTATGACCATTCTAGCTGTTATAGACTCCTAGTAGTTCCAGTGTAGGGTTGGAAAGTTTACCGGTACTATGGTAGTATCGTGATACTATGGCTTCAAAATACTGGTGGCGCCACTGTATTTTTTAAACGGTAGTATTATTATTAACAGTCTATCTACAATACATAATGTTGCATGTGGAAAAGTCACTAAAATGTTCACACAATTATGCAACAATAGACCATTTTATTTGAATAGTCTGTGGACCACTTTAAGGTTGCAAAACTGTGTAGAATTCATGCCCTTTATGGTAGCCTGTATGGTGCACGTTTTTCACGTTTGTGCTTCAGTTCCAATGCACATCTGAATAGTTGATTTCTGTTCTCGTCAATGTGATTTAGAAGCTACAACCAAAACAATCTCTTAAAGGGTCATGACACCCCCTACTTTTGGTTTAAGTCTACCTCCGATTAAAAAAAAAAAACGCTTCATAATGGGCGTGGAGATCCGCGATCAGAGGCAGGAGTGGGCGTGGTCAGCAGAGCAGGGGAGAAGGAGGGGAGCGAACAACTGTTGTCAGTTACCTCACAAAATGAGACACAAACTGTGAAAAGAACCATGATTTTATAGTTTACAAAGTTAAAATGCAAAGAAGTGAACAGTAATTTAATGCCCTGCTACATTTCTCATTTGTAATTTCATATGCACACAACCGCAATTTATATCATTATAAAGATAATTGTGTTCATATAAACATTTACATTTACATTTACATTTAGTCATTTAGCAGACGCTTTTATCCAAAGCGACTTACAAATGAGGACAAGGAAGCAATTTACACAACCAAGAGCAACAATGAATAAGTGCTATAAGCAAGTTTCAGGTCTGTAAAGTCTAAGAAGGGAAGTATTAGTAGTATTAGTATTTTTTTTTTTTTTTTTTTGTACAGTTAGTGTGATATTCAGAGAGGCAATTGCAGATTAGGAAGTGTAGTGGAGACTAAATAGTTGAGTTTTTAGTCGTTTCTTGAAAGTAGCGAGTGACTCTGCTGTTCTGATGCAGTTAGGGAGTTTATTCCACCAACTGGGCAGATTGAGCGTGAGCGTTCGCGAAAGTGATTTCTTCCCCCTTTGGGATGGAACCACGAGGCGACGTTCATTCACAGAACGCAAGTTTCTGGAGGGCACATAGATCTGCAGAAGCGAGAGCAGATAAGAAGGAGCAAGGCCAGAAGTCACTTTGTAGGCAAACATCAGAGCTTTGAATTTGATGCGAGCAGCAACTGGCAGCCAGTGCAAACGGAGTAGCAGCAGAGTGACATGTGCTCGTTTAGGTTCATTGAAGACCACTCGTGCTGCTGCATTCTGGAGCAGTTGAAGAGGCTTGATAGAGTTAGCTGGAAGCCCAGCTAGTAGAGAGTTACAGTAATCCAGTTTGGAGAGAACAAGAGCTTGAACAAGGAGTTGAGCTGCATGTTCAGATAAGAAGGGTCGGCTATAAATGAGGATATAAATGAGGATGTTTCCTTCAATCTCTGGGTCTGAATGCAGACTCGGTGATGCAGGTCTCTTGCCCTGTCTATTTTAACCATTAGCCCTGCTGGTAATCTGGAGGATTTAGGCAAACAAAGCAGCACGGAGATGTGTATAAATGTGAAAGAACTCCTGATAAAAGACAACGTTTGCTATTCTCCACTTGTACTGGCCCATACTCGTGCGGCTCTCCTGACAAAAATGCTTGCTGCACACACACACACACAGCTTTGCTGTATCGGTTCTAACAGGCTCAAGGGGAAAAACATGCAACAAATGCCGTGGATCATGGAAACAAACGCATAAGACCCTTCATGAACACCTAAATCAGTGTGCCGTGGGTCTGTGGGTGCCGTCTCACCCAGTCATCAACAGGGACAGCTTGGTGCTGGCAGGTCTATGTTTTGCCTTCGGAAAGCACATGCAGTCATGAATAATTAAGAAGCCGGCATTTCTTATAGGATAAGAAAAGTCTGCTATGAATAATAATGAGAAACTGAACCGTCATCTTTACACTTGCATTTTTGCGATACGTCACCGATTTTGATCCCGCCCCAAAAATCATTTTAAACCCGGAAAATGAAATTAGCTGCTCAAAATTATCCAGTTTTTCCCACAATTAAGGCTAACAGGTGCTAACATTGTCTTAACTGATGCTCTAAAAAGAACGACTCATAAAGTGAAATTTTGAATTACTTTGGATTCTTACTTAAGACAAAAAAAAAAAAAAAAACAATAGATGAAAAACCCAAAAGAGCAACAGGAAACATTTTTTTTGTCCACTTCATAGCCTAATTTGCTCTTTTTGTAACAATTTTGTTCGGTATAGTTTGTATCTTTATTTTGATGTGTTTGTCTTTTGGTCCGTTATCTACAAAATAAACGAAAAGAACAACTGCATTTTAGGTGAAGTGATGTGCAAATACTTTTTTCAATAATAAGAGTATTATGAACTCAATTCAAGTAGGCCTAATATAACATCGTATATAGTATTTCAGACAATTTTCTGTATTTCATAGATTTGAGTTATGAATTACAGTATTGCAATACTACTTGGTATCACAATACTTCAGCTGGTATAGTATCGTAATGTAAATTAATGGTATCGCGACAACCCTTTTTCAGTGTTTACATTTTTTGCGTTTTTCATTACATTTTATTTTCAGCTAAGTCCCTTTATTAATCTGGGGTTGCCATAACGGAATAAACCGCCAACTTATCCAGCACATGCCATGTTTTTACGCTGTGGATGCCCTTCCAGCTGCAACCCATCACTGGGAAACACATACACTCACATACACACTCATTCACACACACTCATAAACTACAGTCAATTTTAACACACCCAATTCACCTTTACCACGTGTCTTTGGACTTGTGGGGGAAACCGAAGCACTCTGAGGAAACCCACGCGAACACGGGGAGAACATGCAAACTCCACACAGAAACGCCAACTGTACCAGCCGAGGCTCGAACCAGCGACCTTCTTGCTGTTATGGGAACATGCTACCCACTGCACCACAGTGTTTCCCTTTTTAGCATTTTTCAAATATGCAAAAAGCTCTCACCTATTTGATCAGGACGAACTGGGATTGTAAAGACTTGACGTTTAATTGTGGCCTTAAACTTTTATGGAGCATATGCAGTTAGTATTAAGATGCATTTTTTATTGATCCAGTCAAGTAGATGATGCTAAATACAGATGTAAACAGGGCCTAAAATGCTTTTAGTTCATCCACTTTAAACCACTTCCATGTTGGAAACATTAGATCTGATAGCTTCAAAATGTAAACACTAATGCCGTCGAATGTGTTCAGACAGAAAAGACTACTCTAACATTGCGTTGTATAGGGACATGTATTGAGAACGGTATTCATGAAAACACAAAGTCATCTGAACATTTACTCTGAGATTTAATATTAGGTGGAAACAGGGCCAGAAAGGCTAAGAAGCACTGATGGTGTTCATATGAACAAGCAAGGAAAAGGAACTTAATTACCATTTGAAGCCAGTTTGAAGAGTTTTTATGTTGTTAACTATGACGGTTTTGCTTGGACTAACTTTCTTTCTCTTCTTTTCTGCTCAGCTGGAGAATTTGATGCTTGATAAAGATGGTCACATCAAAATTACAGACTTTGGCCTCTGCAAAGAAGGAATCACTGATGCTGCTACCATGAAGACCTTCTGTGGGACGCCAGAGTATTTGGCACCGGAGGTAAAAGAAACCCCCGATGATTAACCAAACCTGCAACTATCGCTGAAACTGCCAGTATTAATCAGTGGAGCATATGCAGAGACCATGAACATGCTCAACAATTTCTCAGTAGCAAATTTAGAATTTTGGATAATATCACAAGAGTCTAGTTATGGCCTGAATGACTGAAGAGTCCTATTTAAGCTTTTGCCGTCTTCGCATAGTATGCAACATTAATGTAATATTTTAATCAGCATATGTACAGCAAACACTGCAAGTATAAAATCTGGCAGCAATCAGGCATTTAAACTGCAGTGGCATTGAATTAAAAGATACAGTAATGATCAGGAACACCAAACTGTATATCAACTGACTGTTCAGGCACTGGGAGCTTCTGATAGTCTTGATCATTTGTGAAACCTCTATAAAATATATTATTTGGTAAATGTAAATATATTTACAAACTCTGTCCTCGAGGGCCAGTGTCCTGCATGTTTAGCTTCAATGTCCTTCATTACTCCTCCCCGGAAGTGTTTAGTATTCTTTGAAAGAGCTTGATTAGCTGGTTCAGGTGTGTTTGATTGGGGTTGGAACTAAAATATGCTGGAAACCGGCACTCCACGACTGAGTTCAGGCACCCCTGACTTAATTCATTCATAATACCATCAGTTGTGTGTTTCTAAAAATGATTAATACTGCTGTTGAGTTTTACTGTATTTATCTTTTCAGTTGCTCTTTTTTTTAAAGCAGAACTGGTTTAAAGCGTTTGGTGAGGGCATTTGTGTTTTATCATTTGATATGAGTGTTATAAGAAGCATAAGAAGTAAGCAGATCATTTTTCACAAATTAAAAGATGGTTCTGATATGAAGTATTATAAATCAATGCATGAATGAATTATAAATTAATAAATAAAAAATTATAGTTTTGTATGATGATTTAGGGCTCTGTTGAAAATCTGGCTCTGTTAAAATCTGTTGAAAACTGTTGTGCATGTAACCCGCCAGTCCTACTGCATCCAACCCGGTTTAAGTTTGGATCGAATAGGCGATTCTTTGTATGGTAGTTGGTTGCTCTAACAAGAAGCCTAAAGACCTTGGCCTCTAGCGTCAGTTGCTAGAGCACCTTTAGAGGTCAAACAAGTGAAGTTTACCTGCGTGATACTTTGCTAACTGGCCTCCGTTAAAGTCACCCCCCTAAACCTCACTCCTACTTCACCCAACCCAGTCTGAGCTGGAATCAAACTGGCGATTCTTTGCGGCTTATTCATTTTCCTTCGGCTTAGTCCTTTTATTCATCAGAGGTCACCACAGCAGAATGAACCGCCAACTTATCCAGCATATGTTTTACACAGCGGATGCCCTTCTAACTGCTACCCAGCGCTGAGAAACAACCCTACACACTCATTCGCGCGCGCACACACACACACACACACACACACACACACACACACACACACACACACATACACACACGTACACTACGGCCAAATTAGTTTTTTCAATTCACCTATAGCACATGTCTTCGGACTGTAGGGGAGACTAGAGCACCCGAAGGAAACCTATGCCAAAACGGGGAGAACATGCAAACTCCACACAGAAATGCCAACTGACCCAGTTGCACTAAGGCGACAGTGCGAACCCCTGAGCCACCTTGTCACCTTTTGTGCGGCTTAATGTTTTAGTATTTGCTTAATATTTGAAATACAATCATTTATAACCTTTTACATATATTTACTATTTTTAAGATCAATATTATTAGCCCTCTTGAGAAATTATTAGATTGACTACAGAACAAACCACTGTTGTCCAGCTTGCCTAGTTAACCTATCAAAGCCTTTCAATTGCACTTTAAGCAGGATACTAGTATCCTGAAACATCTCTAATAAAATATTAGGTGTACTGTCATTATGGCATAGATTAAAGAAATTAGTCATTAGAAACTATTCATTAAAACTATTATGTTTAAAATGTTGGAAATCTCTCGTCTCTGTTAAACATCACTTGGGAAATGTTTTTTAAAAGAATTACAATTTTACAGGAGGACTAATAACTTTGACTTTAACTGAATAAATAATTTTTACTAACCATTTATATTCCTTATCTTTCTTAAAAATACTTCAAACTTATACTTACATGATTACATATCATTGTAGTACAATTTGTGTTGAATACAGTGTCAGACTTTAAAACTTCTCAAGTGTCTCAAAGCTCCTGCAGAGTCATTGCATCAAATTCAATCTTTTTTATTAAACGATAATAATAGATTTTAAAAACATCAAGAATTAAATCTTGCCAACCCCATACATTTTAAAATTTGATTAAAATGTAATATTAATCACAGTGTTCATAAGCTTCCATGGTGTTAGATAATGTTTATCAACAGTATGAACACACACTGCGCACAGATCGTGTCTTTTAAATAGCAAAAATAAGTATGGCTTTAATTTCCTTTGAGCAGTAGTTTGCTGTTGAACCTTCTGTCTAAGCAGAGGTGCACACGGCGCCCAGATTGCAGTGGCTAAATCCATATTTATAGACAGAAGGGGGGAGCGGGCAGGGGGCGGCAGCGGGAGTGAAGGGGGATATAGATTCCACTCGAAAAAGTACGGAAGACAATTTGGCGCAACATTTTGTTTTGCTCAGCCTGGCCGCTGTGCCAGGAGATGATTTGAGTGTTGGTTATTTTTCACAAGAGTATGTGATTGCACAAAAAAGTACATGCTAAACAGAGGCAGATGGTGGCAGATGGGGAAGGTTGGAAGAAGGTGGCTGGGAAACCTGGAAATCTATACTGCCGTACTGGTGTAAAAATAACAGAGCACTGCCTGAGCCAAGTTCTGGAGATGCAAAGTAGAGGGGGATTAGAGAGAGAGAGAGAAGAACGAGAGAGTGAGAGAGAGAGAGTGTGAAAGATATTTCGAGGGAAAAAATATTTTCTTTTAGGGTTACAGAAGTGAAATTGGAATAGTTTTGCTTAAATTTGGCCCTCACCAAATGTTTTAAGTGCTAATGAGAGCGAATGAAGATACATTTACAGAAATACTTCTCTAATAACAGTTCGCTTTCACAAGCTGTATGTCATCTGTCATTGAGTTCTCATCTGCCACATCTTTAGCATTTCGTAATTACGCCGTTTCTACAGCGTGTTTGCGCCCAGTAAAACACTATCGCTGCTTTCCAGCTGTTATTAAGAGCGCATTAGCAGGATGTGTGTTTGTCAGGATGTGCAGGTAAAGGTAGTGTTGGTCTTCTGGAAGGAGGTGTACAGGTGCACAGCAGCAGGTGAGCGCTCATAGTGTGTGTTTACAGTATGTGCGCATATATTTGTATGCACTTTGAACACCCCCGTGTGTGTGTGTGTGTGCACAAGCGTCCTCGTGTAGCCTGGCCAAAGTGGGATAAGCTCATGGAGGCTGTCTGTTCCACTGCCCTGCTGGGGAACTGGGCTGGTGGAGCCACAGGCTCTCTGTCCCATCCCTCCCCGGCCAGCCTTGCCAAGGGCCCAGTCCTGGGAGCAGCAGCCCTGCCACATGGCTGTCCGAGCAGGGGCCTGTTCCTCCCCTGCGGCCGCTCCTCCTCGCCTGTGGCTCTGGAACAGGGAGACCCCAACTGGCTCTGTGTGCATTAATCGCATCCCCGCCTGCAGCCGAGCTGCTCACGTACAGTCCCAGGACAAACAGCACAATCCGGCCATACGTGCCTCAAACACACACGCACACACACACACACACACACAAACAGTGGCCTCATCCTCGCTTACACTCCTGTTTGTTTCCAGAACACACGCTTCTCTCTTGTGCTCACAGACATGGACAAACACACTCATTCTGTCAGACTAGTTCAAACTTCAAACTCTGATTAAATCGGTGTAAATCGTGTCAACTTTGATTTATGAAGCAGCTGCGATAGAAGTATGATAAAAGATACTCAATATCACAAAACAATCCATTATTAATTGTGATTGACCCTAGAGCAGGTTGCTCACCAGAAGTGCCGCGACACGGCGCGCACATGACAGTTTAAAGTATCACACACTAGATGTGCACATTCGCATGATATTTAACATAAAACTAATCAGATGGCGCTCTGAAATATGAACTGCGTCCTGAGTCATGGCTGGGCGCTGCCGACTTGCAGCGCCGGTGTGTGTATCCTGATAGAAACCTATGTTTAAAATTCTAAACTGCATGGTGCTGCGCGGCGCATCACAGAGCGGCGCTTCTGGTGTGCGACCTGCTTAGGGCTCTTAGGTGGTTTGGGGCTCTGGAGAGGTATTGGCATGCCCTGACATTTGTGCTCTTTTTCAGGTTTCTTATAATTACATTAAATTCTGATGACAAACTGTGACGCAGTAATATGATAGAAAAAATTAAATAGATATGTGTGGTCAATAAAAAAACTTTTTAAAGTCATTGAACTAAGGTTATAAAACTAATATTAAGTATGCATTTATCCAGCTTTTGCAAGTAATTTACCATGGTTAATGTGGTTTTACCACAAAATAATCTGACAATCATCATGTTTACTCGTTCACTTTAAACAACAGCTCTCACTTTACATCAAGTGGCCTTAACTAATATGTGCTGAAATGAATGATTTGTTATTATGCACTTTCTGTGTAAATTTGTTTTACATTTGTACTTATGCTTGATTAAATACATGCATTTAATTACAGCTGTTATTAATTTCTCTAATTACATCTTTTATTACAGCGTTGACCATCCCTTACACCTTAACCCACGCTTAAACCTGTCTAAAACTCATACACCTAACCTGTCCCAAACCCTACCCGTATCCCTCCTCAAGTGCACCAGAAGTGTTCTGCAATACCTTTACAACACAGTAACTACACTGTATTTATTTTTATGATGCAAGTTCATAGTAGTTAAGGCCACCTAATGTAAAGTGGGACCAAACAATATTGTCAGCTTACATTGTGTGCAGTAATTCTGTTAGAAGTCAGTGGTTATTCAACTCCAATTAACCATTTCACATCTCATTTACTCTGCCAAGTGACATGCAGTACTGTTGAAATGACTGTGGTGATGAAATTATAGTACATAAAGTTGGCTAATAATAAACATTAAACTGCAAAAAATTAAATTCAGATACAAACTGTGCATAATTTAGCTGATTATTTTACATTTGTATATTGTTGTTTGAGCACTTTACCATCAGATTGCTGTTATTTCTAGTAGACCTAATACACAGATGAAATCATTTTCTGAATATTTCTGACTAGAGCTTTGATCTGTTGAATGTGAAGTGCTGTCAAAATCACAGTGCACAATATACCATTCATCACATTTGCTCTGACATGTCTGTGTGAAGAATTCATATACACTAATCTCGCTGTATGGAGGTTTTAGCGCTGCGTTCCCACATGGACCTCCACATTGTGTTTCCTAATCAGAGCGAGTAATGAATGCTGCTGTTGACTCATGCAGGTCTGCCTGTTTTAAAGATCAGAGAGGAGACATCATTATAACACCACTCTCAGCATATGCTTAACTGGCTCGCTGCCAGACAGCCTTGTCATTAGTCAGACGTATTAATCATTACTCTTCTCTCCGTCGCGCACTTCTTCTCCAGCCGCCTCGTTTCCTCCACCTAGACTTGAAGAGCTTCCGGTAAGGTGTGTATGAGGGTCCACAGTAATTGGGGCCCGGGACGCTTGCCCAAATAGCGCAGCTTTGATCCAAGGATTTCAGGCTTTTAGGAATGTGCTTCCATGTTCCAACTGTATCCTGTGCTGGACCTTTGACCTGATACGGCGGTGGAGAATGAACGTTTAGTTGCTTTTATCGGTGAATCGCTGATTGGCCTGAGAATTGGCTCACACTGGCATGGGCTTGGTGATGAGAAGCACTACAATATGAGAGTGTGTGTGTGTGAAGTGCTGCCATTATCAGCTACTGATATTCATACATTAGCATGGATCTTCATAACTGCCATTCATTTAGAAACTCTCAGCTGTAATGACTATAACGCAGAAGAAGTTGATTCAGTGTAATGTTACACGTTCAACTTATTTTCTAGAGTTGCTGTGTTTAAAATGTGCTGAACCAAAATGTATATAGAAATAATAATGCAATAGTTAATATACAGGATTTAGAAGTGAACAGAGATTGCCTTTTAGACCTCAGTTAGATACCAAATAGTCTTGAGAACTAAATTGAAATCTAAAGGAGCTTGATTGAATTTTTAAACTGGAAATAAGACATTGTTTATCAGCTTTATGAAGGGATGGTTGAATATAGATGGATGTAGATAAATGTCTCCTACAGTAGATATTATATTACTTAAACCTAGTAAAGTTTTTTAATCAAATTTCATGAGTATGAAATGCTTATGATTGACCACGACTGGTCTTGCATCATCAATTACTAACCAACCAATCAGACGCATTCAAATCAAAATAAATAGTCTGTTTTCCTTACATTAGTCTTCCTCGTTTTTTCTGACAAAACCCCCCCCTTCCACCCTGACTCTTTCCTAATCCAATTGCAGAGAAGTTCTCAAAACCCACCTGAGCTCAAGACCTACCTGAGCCGTCTAAACGGAGGGAGCCCCGGGCTCGTGGATCTTCAGAGCTCAGGCCTCTCTCCTGGGACAGCATGCCAAATAGACTTTGTGAACTCTTGAATTTTTTTAAAATTCAAAACTTGAATAAAATCCATTTGAATAAAATCACAAAGATATTAACTTATTAAAAAAAAAAATGCTTATCTGCATTTAGTGAAAGTTTGTTTTGAAAAAGTTTACTTCACAATAATATCACAATCACAATATACTAGTTTTTGATGGCTACCTCCCGAATCATACTTTCAGCTTCAGTTATCATGGTTTAATTAAGTCTAATTGTCAACTTTGATGTGTTTACTAAGTTAAACATCTGCATGAAACATCTATTTTCTGCATTATTTGTATTTTCAGTAATAAAGAGATTATGTGTTTGTTACTACAGTACATTCTGCTCAACTCTGTTACATCAGTTGTAAAAAGGCATAATACAATCTGTGAAGCACTGATAGAAAAAGCACGTGACCTGCTCCAAATTAAATCACATTGCTTCCTCTAGTGGGAAACTATGGAAGGCACTAAGGCAATCATTTGTACAAAATGTTTAGCTTAGACCAATAGTATATTAATTGTATGTCAACTCTATTATTCTAACATTTCAATGAATTTCTCATTCACTTTTATAAACTAGACATGCCATGTGGTACCTTTGGGGTTCGAATCTTGAGCTAAAGCTCAAAGAGGTGAAGAATGTCAACTCTGTTAGTGGCTTAAGAAGTGAACTGAACAACAGTCAGTGAAAGAACCAAATGTTCCCTCATTTTGCACAATTTGATGTTAATAAAGGACATTAATTTGACGTTAATTCAGCTTACTCTAGGCCGTTCAATTCATTTTCCTGTGTCATTAAAATAACTCTGGTCATTAAAACAGACACCTTCAACAGGGGAGCCAGTTTTAAGATCTGAAATTCACCTTTTATAGTTTAAGCTTTTTGATTAGTGCTTTTAATTCTTCAGAGATAAGGGGTTAAAGTACAAAACTAGCCATATGATTTTGTTAGCTCACATTGCTAGTTTATTGTTGAACAATTCATCTGTGCATAACATTACAAAATCTAAAAATGCATTTCCTTTTTTTTTTTCCAGTAAATTGTTCTGATTACGGCTGTTTCTTTTACACGTTCTTCAGCGATCTTGTGTATTCATGTTCTCATGTATTATCATCATCAATTGCCAAAGTTCAGTTCCAAAACTGCGTGAAGGAGAACGCGTGAAAATTCTCAGATGTGTTCTTGGTATCAAGGATGCATCAATGCAAACTTGATACCAAAGCACCGAACTCGCTTTAGAAGTCCCTTACGTCATTGTGACTGAATAAAGGCGGTAGGAAGCGCAACATTTTATATAGGTTTATAATCAAAGTTCTGAGATATAACTTATTTGTCTCAGGAGTTTCCCTAAATGAGATCGTGATAGTAAACATTAACATGAAAATATAATAAACACATTAACACATTAAGAGTGTTTATTTGCTGAAATTTATATGAAAAAAAAAATCTGTTTTATTCGTATTGTGCAAAGTATATTTGTAAGGATTTTGTCCATGTTGTATATATTTAAAAGGGAAAAATCAGTAAATCATTGTATGAATGCTGTAATGTTTAAAAAACTTTCTGTTAAAAATGTGTAAAGGTCATGTTAATTCAGGAAGAATGCAGCATCTCGTTTCTCACAGGACAGTTCTGTGTCCTTGCGGTCTCCCGAGTTTGTTCTTCCGAGGTGACAAGACCTCTTCACGAGAATGCAAGTACGTTCTCTGTGTTTTTGCAATTGAGAAACAGCCAACGCATGTATTAGGTATTGGGCGTGGCCAACATACTTAACCACGCCTTCTTCAACTGTCAGTTTTGACAGAAACAGAAACAGTGAGAAGAAGATGTCTGTTTTAATAACTCTTCTAAAACCTATTTCCTGATCTTTCTGAATGAAATTCCTGCTTTACTACATTCATTTACACCGTGGTAGAAAAAACAAGCCTCGCTTACTGTTTGCTCATTTAAAATTCTGTTTCTCTAGGAACTGCCTTACAATAAGAAAAAAACGGTGCAGCTTCTTGTTCATGTAGACTTAATGCTTCCTTTTTGTCCAGGTACATGTTGTGGGCTCTGATCAGGAGAGTTCTAATCATGGCTGATTGTGCGTGTCTTCAGGTGCTGGAGGACAATGATTACGGCCGTGCGGTGGACTGGTGGGGTCTCGGGGTGGTCATGTATGAGATGATGTGTGGTCGACTGCCTTTCTACAATCAGGACCACGAGAAGCTGTTTGAGCTCATCCTGATGGAGGACATCAAGTTCCCCAGGACGCTCTCCGCTGATGCCAAGTCCCTGCTGTCCGGCCTGCTCATCAAAGATCCCAACAAGAGGTACAAACCCAGAAACATTCCTCACGATATCAAGATCAGTTTGCCTTTCTATTTTCTGTATTTGACTTAATTAGACAGGAACTGGCCATCAGTTGTCAAGCAACTACAGGAAATCCTTTTGTTTTTCCAATCAGACTTGGTGGAGGTCCGGATGATGCTAAGGAAATTATGCGACATAGTTTCTTTACTGGAATTGACTGGCAGGATGTCTATGATAAAAAGGTAATTGAGCATCTTTGCTGTTGCGTCTTCTTCATTACAAATGAAGATGCACTCTGTAGCTGTGTCTCATTTCAGAGAGCTGAGTCCTTCCAGGTCCACACAAGCCAAAATGAGCATTTTGAAATGAGACGATCTAGCCTACATAGGACAGATCTCGTCTCATAGCGACCGCAATATCTGCCTCAAATAAGCTGTAATATTGTAATGACTTTTTTTAAAGTGATTTTAAAACTTATTTTATGCAATCTGTAGCCAAAGCAAGGTTTACAGAAGCTGGAAATATAATTTCTTTGATTCATACATGCACACATAAACTCTATAAAATCACTTGTAAGTAAGGCCGCATTTACACTGCAATGTTCAAGTGACTCAATTCCGATTTTTTTCTCCCATGTGACACAGATTCAGTATGGCCCATGTACATGTAAGCAGGAACAAATCATATGGATTCTTATTTACTCAAATCAGGATCAGGCCTTGTTCATATGTGTAATTTTATCCAATATAAATCGGATCTGTGCCATCATGTCTGCAGTGTAAGCAGGTAGATCAGATTTTCACCTGTCAATGCGAGTCGCGCGTCATTAAAAACCATAGCGAATGATGTCAAGTCTGACACTTTCATTTTAGTACAGACTTCAGTCCCAAACCTTAAATTTCATACACAAGGACTTAAACAGCTTTCATATTGTCATATAACATATGTATTTAAGCATGTTAACGAGAGCGAGAGAGCGCAATGTCTGCCACGTAACCAATATAAACTAATATAAAACTAGTGCATAGCTACATCACGCGCAGAAATTATGCCATGGACATTACATCAAGATGCCTAAAGGTTTTAAAAAGCCTATATATCAAAAGAAGATGGATAAATGAGAATCTTTCTGTCATAAACTATAGTAAAACAGCTTTTCAAAAGCTGCGAACAGATTACATACAGGAATAGAGAAAAGAGCACTCTTTAATTGTCAGCTGTTAGTCAGCGCTCTTTTTTCTCTGGTAGTGTGCTGTGTAAATGCAGACAATCGGATACCAGTCACTTTTAAAAGATGATGTAAGCAGGTCATCAAAAAAATTGATACAGTCACAAAATCGGAATTGACCTTAAAGATCTGCAGTGTAAATGTGGCCTAAAACATGCCATACTCTTTTTGTTTGTTGTTTTGACATCGAAGTAAAATAATCCTAATTCAGACATTTAATCCGGAGTTTTCTTTTAAAAACAACCTGCCGTTATCAGTGCACACTGAATCTTGAGATGTCCGCGAAGGATCTACCAGTTGTATCCTTCATTACCTGGAAAACGAAGTACACATTTTAAGGCTGCATTTGAAGGAACTTTCGAATTTGTTTGAAATAAGACTGTGCTGATGACGCAGTACCTTTCGAATGCATTTTTTGAATGAGGCAGCCTTTGAAATGAGACACATCTTGTATTTTAGGTCTATTTCTGAGATTTTTTTTTATATATATATATAAAAGACAATTATGATGTTTTATTGTTGTGACCCCATAGAAAAACACAATTGTGAGATAATACTATTTTGATGCTAAAATAGATTTAAACAATATCAGAAGTGATTTTGTTGACTTAAACAAAATATTAAATATCAATTTTTTAATGTTTTAAATAACTGGCGAAATTAAAATGTCAAAATATTGGTGAAATAATAATCCATCATCATTCCTTCTAACATGTTTATGTAGAAATGAAATGACACACTTAATCTGATCTTATTTTAAAGGATTAAAAACCTCTTGCTGACAGTTGGCTTAAACTTAATTTGAGTGACAAAGTATAAAGTATTACAATATCAATTAAAGATGCCAAAATAAAATCAGTAAATACCTAAGCTTAGCTGAATAAAAGGAGTTCAGTACATGGAAAGACATACTGTGAGCCTTAAACACTATTAAGTGTAATGAATGTCCCAGTTAAAAACAAGCCAATCGAAACAAAACACTGACTCTGACGATCCATGCGAGATCATTAATATTTGGCCAAACTAAACTACTTCTACAACTACAACTAAAACTTCCCCACCCTGTAGTTCATTTAAGCTTGTATTATGCTTGCTATATGTGTGGGACTCTTATTTAGGAAATGAGAATGTCAGTTACTGAACAATTATGTGAATTTGTTAAAAAACAATTTTGACTAAAGTATGATTATTTTGCACAAGTGTATTTCAGAGCGCATCACTATGGGTGTGTGAGCTGCAGGCATTGCCTGACACTGACAGCTCATTAATATTCATGACCATTCCAAATATGGTCCAAACAGCTTTTAATTATAGGTGTATTTCCTGTTGTTATAAATAAGTATATGAAACCATATTGGGTATTTTTTTGCACTCCCTTAAGCCACATACCTACTACACTACCTGACAAAAGTCTTGTCCTTGATCCCAGTTGTAAAAGCAACAAATAATAACTTGACTTGATCATTTGGAAAAGTGGCAGAAGGTTCTTTTTTTATTTTTTATGGTAAATCATGTGTTAAACTGCATCCTAATCATCACAAATACTGCAGAGACTTGTTGGAACCAGCATGAAGCCAAGATTCTCACAGAAATTAGTCAAGTTTGGTGAAGGAAAGATCATGGTTTGGGGTTACATTCAGTATGGCGGCGTGCGGGAGACTTGCTGAGTGGATGGCAACATCAATAGCTTGAGATATCAAGACATTTGTGCTGCCCATTACATTACAAACCACAGGAAAGGGGAAATTCTTCAGCAGGATGGTACTCCTTTTCATACCTCAGCCTACACATTAAAGTTCCTGAAAGCAAATAAGAGCAAGTTGCTACGGGATTGGCCAGCCCAGTCACCAGACATGAACTTTATTGAGCATGTCTAGGGTAAGATAGAGGAGACATTGAAGGTGAATCCAAAGAATCTTGATGAACTCTAGGAGTCATGCAAGAACGCTTTCTTTGCCATTCCAGATGACTTTATTAAAAAGTTATTTGAGTCATTGCAGAGATGTATGGATGCAGTCCTCCAAGCTCATGGGAGTCATATAGTCACAATATTAATTATTTTTCCACTTTAGCATGACTTTATATTCTATACTGTACATTATTTCTGTTAACTGGCAAGACTTTTGTCTAAGCAAAGTCAGACCTTACTGTCCTAATTAAACAATTAAAAATCAAGGCATGATCATATTTTATTTTGGTAAAGTAAGTGTAATCTAGAGGCCTTTGCCTTTTCATATAAGCCACTTCTGATACCAAATAATCAACTAGAAGTCAAGGTATTATTTGTTGTTCCTTAAGCTTGGATAGGCGACAAGACTTTTGTCAGGTAATATATGTATATAGTGGAAAAAATTTAGCATAATGAATCAATTCCCTCTTTGGCATCTTTAATAAATATATGAAGTCTGATACATAAACTATTGTTACAATGTAGAACATTTTGTTTGGTATCTTCAGTTATTTAAGATCAGATTTATTTTAAATACATTCTTTTTTTTTGCTCTGAAATAAAAGAGTAAATCAAACAACACATTCTAACTAAAACACTTTTGATGGCACATGTTTACACAGAGGTTGTGTGTGATTTGATGCAAGAATAGGTCACTGTCACTTAAGCTCGACAGATAGCACAATGGCTGGCAGAGGAGGGTGTGCTGTAGAGGCGTTAGATTGAGCCCTCCGGCCTGCCATACTATATGCAGTGTCAGATCTGCACAAACAGGTGCTCGGTGTGTTTTCATCCCCCTCTCTTCCTTCCTCAGCTGATACCTCCCTTCAAGCCTCAGGTGTCGTCAGAGACAGATACCAGATATTTTGACGAAGAGTTCACAGCTCAAACCATTACAATAACCCCTCCTGAAAAATGTGAGTTCATCTGCTGTTTGTTGTTTATCTCTGCATACATTGACAATGCTGTTATGACTCAAAGTGTGTTCTGAAAACATACTGGCTTATGTGATATTCAGCTGAATTCATTAGAAACTCTAGAAAATACAGTTTTTTTTTTTCTTCGGCACAAATTGAAATCGCCTGAAAACTTTGGGTGTTGCTTTTTGTTTGCACATAATATTGATTGAGAAGTTTTGTGGCGATGTTACTTGGTAATATTCATGAATTTCACAAACAAAGACCAAATACTGGTTTAAAGGTGTTGAAATGTTAGTGCACCCAAACGAGAAATTTAAATTGTTATCAATTTATGAGGCAGCATGGGGACTAAGTGGTTGGTACTGTCACCTTACTCCAAGAAGGTCACTGGTTCAAGTCTCGGGGTCAGTTGCCATTTCTCTGTGGAGTTTGTATGTTTTCCTGTTTCTTCCGGGTGCTCCGGTTACCCCCACAGTCCAAAGGCATGCGGTATAGCTGAACTGAAAAAGCTAAACTAGCTGTGTGAATGGGAGAGTGTATGAGTGTATGTTACCCATTGCTGGTTTGCAGCTAGAAGGGGATCCGCTGTGTAAAACATATGCTGAATAAGTTGGCAGTTCATTCCACTGTGGCGATCCCTGATAAATAAAGAGATTAGGCAGAAGAAAAATGTATGAATGAATGAGATTTTATAGAATTTTGGGTAACACTTTACTTGAAGGGGGTGTTTGTGTCATGAAACCTTTATAATCATGACATGATCATGAATCTGAATATGATTATACGCATGCTTTTGACAACTTTCATTGTGTCATTCACTCAGTTATGACATTTTAAATGCAAACATGATGTTGTTTCCTGTCATGACAACTTGACATTACCAAAACAACAAAACTTGTCATAAATCTGTCATAAACATAATTATCATGATGCCGTTATAATCATGATGTGAATTTTATAACAGCGTCATTAATATTTCTTAGAGCTCAACTCCAGTGGTACAAGCTGAATTTGTCAATAAATGTCATTAGCTATTAATAATATTGACACTTTTAATGACATATTTTGATGACAAATTCAGTTTGTTCCACTGAAAAAGTTATCAGAAAAATATTCATAAGTCATGTTTATGACAGATTTATGACAAGTTTTGTTTACTGTGTCATCTTTGCATTTTAAAATGTCAAAACTGAGAAAAAGACACCTAATGACAGTTGTCCTAAGCATGCATAACATTTCGTTCACATTGATGACATAAGTCATGTCATGATTAAAAAGGTCTTTTGTTATAAAGTCTGTAATTATGAAGTCTTAAATAACAACCAATGTTTTACAGTTTTTCTCAATTGGTTTGGCTCATTTCTTAAAACAGGAATTACATTCTCAAAACAACATGGACAAACCTTTAAACCACTTACCAATTGTTCACAACAGAATTGCCAAAGGGATGAAGCATTTTAGGGGCTTAATACTGTTAATATGAGAAGCAAATTTAGTTTTGACACAAGCGAACAGTTTTGGGAAAGATATAAGCTTTTGCAAGTGAACTACAGTATAGTGGTGAGCTGGACTGTAAAACTGTTTTGCCAAACAATATATGAGTTTTGAAAATGTAATTCCTGTTTCAAGAAATGAGCCAGACCAATGGGAAAAGTGTAAATGTATACTGTAGTGTATTTCAGAAATAGGAAATGCTTTACTTTGTAATGATTCAGAATATTCAGGATTTATGTGTTGTTGTTGTTTTTTTCTCGATCCACAATCTAGATTATAGACACTTTCTTAAATTATATAATGAATATAAAATGTCTTATTTTGAGCAGTTTCACCTCCTCTGATGCTACAGTTAATGGTGTGGGGAGTTTGAGGTGAAACAGGGCAGTCATATTTTCTATATCAACGCTAAAGCTTATAGAAGGTCTGGCTGATATTTAGGATGTTTGGAACCAATTAAATCTTGTCTTCATAACCCTTTTAATAAAAGTAACAACCTTGTTTTCGCCTGCAAACTGTTAAGACTTCCACAGGCTCCATATTCAACAGCTTGCTCTTGGTAAGTGTGTGGGTGCCAGTTTTTTTGGCATATTGCAGGCTTTTTTTGTGACCTGATGGGAAGTGTAAAAAGTGGTTCAGATAAAGTTTTCTTCACGGCTAACTGCAAAAAAACATTTTATTTGCCTAAACCACAGCCATATCACACTGGAGCCCAAGACTGGTGTCTAAGCAGGGCTGGGCCTGGTCAGTACCTTATGGGAGACCTTCTGGGAAAACTGACATCCTGCTGGTTGCTAAATGTGTTAGTGAGACCAGCATGGAGAGCTTACTCTGTGGTCTGTGTGGGTCCTAATGCCCCATTATAGTGACAGAGACACTTTGCTGTGAAAAACATTGCACTGTTTTGCAGAAAGCATTTAATTTGCTTTAACCACAGTCATATCACCCTGTAGACTGGTTGCCCAGCAGAGTTGAGTCTGGTCAGTACCTTTTGGAAGACTTTTTGGAAAAACTGAATTGCTGCTGGTAAATGTGCTAGTGAGGCCAGCATGGGGTGCTTACTCTGTGTGGATCCTAATGCCCCTGTATAGTGATGGGGACACTACTGTGAAAAGCACAGTCCTTCACTGCAGAAATAAAAAGTCTGGACTGGTCAGTACCTTATGGTAGTGATGGGAGAAACAAACAATCTTTTTCACAGCTTCCAAACCAATTGCTTCACAAATAGCTTGAAACACCACATGCTGAGACACATGGTGCTCAAAACTGTGTAAATGCAATAAAAGCTCATGCAAAACATGCATTAGAATGAGCTTTTTCAAACTTTGAATTTAAAGTGTAACCTATAAGTGCACATAACCTACAGGTGTCTGCCCAATATGTGTTCTTTCAGCAATTTCCAAGGCTTAAATGTTAAATGGTGGGCTCTTCCAAACAGGCCAACAAGAGACTAATATTCTATTTCACTTTACATAGCTCACTAAAACTGATTTAAGATCAGAGAATGAGGTGATTAAGATTTAACTATGAAACCTATTCAGTGATTCACCTCTAGGGGCTGATCTGTGTGATCTCACCCGATTCATGAAGTAGGGTCTGTGTGGGACTGCAAGACAGGGGCGTAACATGAGGGGGTGTAACTTGTAGTAGAGGCGCACCTTAAATTTATCGGGACCAACATGTCAAAACTATGTTGTCGACAAGATGGCGCTTATGCACACACAAGTTGCGACTGCTTTCATTGCCTTTATTTCCTATAATGTATAAACTTATAGTATATTATACTTTTATAATGGCCATTATTGATTATTAAAACTGATATTCAGCAAAAGAAAGGGTATGTTTCGTATTAATTATTCATTCGGAATATAAAAGGAGGCAGTAATGTTATAGGCTTCGTTTTGTTATAAATATCAATACATGAAGATGACGCTCATATTTGCAGCACAATGCCTAAACATTTCTGCTGTCTGTTAAGTTGCTAATATCAAAATGAAAATAGGCAGTTCCTTAAATCATGTTTTCATATTATTGTTGAGAAAGTGAAACAACGTAGCCAGGGTGATGTAAATGAGGTTATAAAGCACACTGTTCCTTTTGAAGATTTACCCGTGTCCTCGGGAGTCAGTTTTTCATGTCAGACTTGTGAAGTCTGAACTTACAAGGCTACTTAATATTCAGGAAAAGCCTTAATCAGGCAGCCCCGCCTCCGTTTTCAGATGTCTTCGTTTTTCCCTATCCACACTGAGACGGAGCAGCAGCATTTTAGAATGAAAACGGCCTCTTCAGCGTTTCCAAAACGCTCCGTTTTCGGTGCTCAAAAACTCTGGCGTAGAGTGGACGGATGGCGTAACCTTAGCAAAACGTATGCGTTTTAAAACGAAAATGCATTAGTGTAAACGGGGCCATAGACTACACCACTGGTACTGTGATTTGCAAATGCAGGGGGCAATGCAGCGTAGGCTAGCTGTCATGACAAATGGATGAAGACTTCAGGGAGTGGAGTTGCTAAATCAGGGGTGTCCAAACTTTTTCTTATGCAGGGCCAAAAATCTAATTGATTGAGGCTAGTGGGTGGGAGGTAAATATTATTGCCATGGGTAATTTCACAATTTATTTAATAAAATTAAAAAATACCTAGAAAATATTTTTTTTACATTTAAAAAAAATCTGATTCATTTACTACATTTAATTTCAATGAGCTTTTTTGTAGCTCCATTATTCTTACTCTCATCTGCAAAGATGGGATGGTGAGCCAAATCAAAGGTTGCAAAGGGCCAACTTTGGGCATCCCTATGCTAAATGAATGAATATACAGTAACAACATATCAAATGAATTGATTGTGGATAAATTTAGAGAAAATGCATGAAAACTCTTGCTGAAAATGTTCTCTGAAAAGTATTTCTGCCATCTTGCCAACATCTTGTTATGACATCTCGCATGGTTCAGTGGGATCTCGACAACTGCAAGTTATGCCTCTACTACAAATCATGCCCCTTTCATGTTACACCCAGTCCCCAGACAGATACACATGAATTCATGTGGATTTTCTGGTATTACACTGATTGACCACCAGAACCAGTAGCCTTGACCAGAAGAACCAGTAGCCTCTTTTCCACCATCATGCTGAACGGTTCTAGAACAGTTGGGTACAGTTCCAGTTGTATTTTCATGTGAGCCTAATATGGTGAGGCACAATTACAAACTGTAAGCCTACATTAAATTAGCCAACTGTGCTGAACAGGCAGGGCACATGTGTGCAAATCTTGGGGTGGCACACAAAAAAAATACTGTATTCAGTGTTCTATTCTAAATGAATTCAGTGTTATATATACAGTGTTTATATATATATATATATATATATATATATATATATATATATATATATATATATATATATATATATATTTGTTTCTAGTAAATGAAAAAATGTGGTTTTAAATAATTTAATTAATTACTCTTGAAATATTGCAATTTATTTCTTGAAATAATTCAACAAGTACATGTGCAAACCAAATAAATATCAATATTTAGTTTAAAAACAATTTTTATATACATAAATAACTTTTCAGCTATTTTTACACATACTTTTATTGTACAGCATACAGTATATACTATGTCTAAAATTAATGTAGATTAATGAGTTCATTAATAAAACAAATGAACAAACTGAACAAAAGGCATTACTACATACACACACACTCACTATACAGACCCTAAGAATATTATTTATCCATATTCCTTTTTGAGCCACAATATTATTAATGCAGCTTTTTCTATTGATGTAATATTAAATTGGCTTTGCTGTCTATTGAAGGTGTGTGCGTGCTGTCAACACTGATTGGGGAGGGCAGTGGCAGTTATACTTTAAATGACACCCTGGGCGAACGCATTTTTTTTCGTTGAACCAGCGCTAAGGGGGAGAGGCAGTGAATCAGCTACATATACACTGTACGTCAGTGGCACAAACAATAATTTAGTGCATTTTATTTATTTATATATTTATATTTATATATTTATTCAAATATTGGGAATATAAGTACATGAATATAAGTACATTTAATCAACAGCAAAATCATATTGGGGTGGCCAGAGTTTACCCAGGGGTGGCCATAGCTGGCTAAGCGAAAACACACAATTTGTTTATTAATTTTTTTGTAATTTAGAGTCCTCAAAACTGAAATATCTGATCCTCACCCATATTGCTGTTTGTATCCCACTTGTGTTTCCAAGGCAACAATTGACACATTTGTTAGATTCGAAAAGAGCTCCGTTATCATCACCATCATCAGCAATGGAAAATAAAACTGTAATGATGTAACAAAGCCATTTACTAAAATTGCCAATATGAAACACATTCTGAACCACTGATTTGCAGCTTGTTAAGTCATGACGTATGAAATATTGTTTCCGGGTCCAAGCCGCTACTCAATTTGAATTGAGAAAATATTAATTTATGATCTCTTTTTATTCATATCACACATTTTATAGAAAATGATGGGTTACACAACAGTCTCTGGACTTTCTGCAATATATATATATATATATATATATATATATATATATATATATATATATATATATATATATATATATATTAGTACTTTAAAAATTAGTGCGTTAACGCATGCAATTAATTTGAAATAATTAACGCAATTAACGCAGTTGCTGTTTTTTATATCCTGTTGTGGTGGACGTGTTTTCAACATGCAAAGAAATGTGGATAAGGCCAAGAAAGCGCTTTTTGAAGGCAAGTTTCAGTATAAAACAGTTAATGTCGTATCACCAGGCTCTCCAGCGTTTCATGCAATTTCGGGTGTTTCATTTTTAACTTTCGACTTCTGTTGTAATGGAATTTGATACCGCATGGCAAAGGGAAAGAAAAACCTCCGCATTTCGTGACTCAGTGGTCCTTTAAGGTAATCAAAAATCGCTGCTTACATGGTAGACTCCTAATAAGAGTATTATCTTAATCATATTAAAATCTGAGTATTGGTGTCTTATGTAAATGTCCTCAGAAAGTGACATGATGTCGCGAGCTGTCAGACAGCGCATTCCTCTGCCTTTCAGCATGAGCCCTCAAATGTGTCATTAAGTTTGACGTGTTTCCCCTTTAAACGCAAGTGTCTGGTTCGCGTTGTGTTAGAATCCTTGTGAAATACAGTAATACTTTAGAACCCTTTGTTTAAGCAAATTTGATGAATGCGATCATGCGTGTTAAACCTGAAGGGAGTCGCTCTGCCTGCCCTGTGTGCGGTGTGTGTGTGTGTGTCTGTCTGTCAGTGTGTGTGTGAGTCTGCGTGCGCACGTTTCTTAGCAACAAACCTGCATAAATGTCCGTAGCCACTAAATCAAAAAGTTACGAATTGCTGTGAGATTGCATTGCACTCTCAGCTCGCATCATTCAAAAGAAAAGGTCCACATTGTCCCCCAATAATGTCAACAGACTGGATTGTTTTAGCAACTGACTGAATGTAAAAGAGGGCTGAGTAAAATTGTTTCTACTTTATAATTAATGTTCTCAACTCACAGCAATACAACTTTACAATGAGTGCAATTGTTTGTATTCAATACTTTATTGTTATAATAATTTTTCATTTTCCATATCTGCAATGCCTGTATTTTGGCATTTTTTGCTGTCCACTTAGAATCCAACTTGGAAATATTTTTTTTTTAAATTTATTGGCATTGATTGTTTTAAAATTCAAATGGCATTAACATGCCTGTGTTTTTATTTCTGTAATAAATATGGCTGTCAAGCCAGGATCTTGATGGTTTATTGTGGGTATGTTGTTTCCATGAAGAAATCTTTGTTACAATTAAACAAAAATTCAAATAAACAATTATGTTTTGAATTTAAATAGTTTTTGTCTTGCGTTTACATAAATCTTTACATTTGAATAGCCAAAATTACAAGTTTCAGTCTTTTAAATGTGATTAATCGTGATTAATTTTTTTAATCGATTGACAGCACTAATATATATATATATATATATATATATATATATATATATATATATGTGTGTGTGTGTGTGTGTGTGTGTGTGTATATATATATATATATATATATATATATATATATATATATATAAATGTGTATATATATATAGTGATTGTGATATATGTATATTGTGAAGTATTAAAGCACTTTATAAACATTTATTACCATTTGATGAGTCTCCCAATACAGTTTGATAAAGAACTTGGACCAAGAAGCCGCTTAGTATGCTGTCATATTTAACAAGCGGATAAAGATTTTCGAGCTTCATGAAACAGTGCGGTGAAAGAAGCCTTCACTACCTTATGGGAGGTTGGGAAAACTAGGTAAATGTGTTAGTGAGCCTTGCATTGGATATGTGTGTGTGTCCCAATGCCCTGGTACAGTGACTGGGCATCTCACCTTTGGATGAGACATTAAACCAAGGTCCAGACTCCATGGTCATTAAGAACCCCATGGCACTTCTCATAAAGAGTAAGGGTGTAACCTTCAAATTACCCCCACTGTCCCTTATTAGTCACAGCCTCTTTATAATCGTCATCCATTGAATTTTCTTTGTTACTCTCTCTGTCCTCTGAACCTCCGCTAAGTTGATTTAAGTATACAACTGCATATAAAATGCCTTATTTATTAAATCTGGCTGAAAAAGACAAGTTACTGTACTGCTAACCTAGCCTCTCTTTACCAATGGTTGCTGTGCTTTTCTTACACAGTTGATGAAGATGGGATGGACTGCATGGACAACGAGCGACGGCCACACTTCCCCCAGTTCTCCTACTCGGCCAGCGGGAGAGAATGAGCGCCACACAGCCGACACTGCCTCATCTTCATCAAGATTACCACTGGAACAAATGAGCTCTTCAGCTTCTAACAGCCGCAGCCCTATTGAACCGCCATCGCCCATCTTGGTTCTTTCATTTCTTTAGCTTGACCAAGGGAAACTTTTAATTTAGGATGATGGGAATTTGCACGTCGGGTCGGATCGAGGTCCATCCGGCTCAAACGTCCTCACAGCTCCAGCCCAAAGGTTGGGTCATGATGGAAGAACTTCTGCTGTTTGTTAGGAGTTTTGTCTTCATTGTGTTTCTCTCTTTGTTTTGAGATGTTGCTTTACATTCTTTACTAATCGAGAACTAGTTTGATCGGTTCATTTTAGTTTGTATAACTGCATGGCTAGAGATTCACTTGGGTTTTGCGATTCCATCTCTCGGGTACACGTAGTATAACTACACAAAATCAATACAGTCTCAGCTGCTTTCGATGTTACTCTTTATAGGGTTCACCAAGTCAAAACTGCCATAAACTGTTTACTCAGGCTTCACAGAGGAAGAAGGATCTGTGTTCAACAGGACTAGCTTTACTCCTCATCATTCCACAATTCAGTATTCCTCCGTATAAAGCCCTGTGAACCTGAGCTATGCAGCGCAATACTATCACTAAATTACAACAGGTCACTTAGTTTGACTGTGTAGTGTGTATTCAGCAAAGACTTTATTTCTTACATATCATTCCCATGAGAAAAGCGGCACGTTTGAATGATGTGGGATTTGTATGCAGCGAAATATGGCTGTAATCAGACTAAAATCCCTTATTTTAGGATCAGAAAGTCTTTCCACTCAGCCCTCAATGGTGCAATCGCAGTGTAATGAAAAAAAGCCAGCATTAATGGAAAAAGTGGCACTATTTTATGTTTTATAATAAGGATGATTAAAAAAAGAATATATATTTGAGTAAATATCCTTTATTTTTTTTCTTTTTGTTTGTTTGTCCTTGCATTATTGGCAGCGCTTTCTAAGTCTCATTTTTTAAAATGAACAAATGCACCTAAAAGGCTTACGAATGTAGATGGGTCAACGTAAAGGCCTTCGTTTGTTTTTATTTCCCCCTCCTTCCACAAGTGTAGTGTTGTCTTTTTTAAATTTGTTTTATTCCTTCCAAGAGGAGTTTTACGATCCTCCTCAACATTGTGAGCAGTCTGAGTGATGTTAAAATGTGTCGCTTGTCTTTCCACCAATGAAAGGGCTGTAAAAGACCATTGTGATTTGTTCAGTTGTGCTTGGTAGTGTCTTCAGTTATGTGCGTGTGCGCTCCATGTTGTGCTTTGCTTTACCTTTTAATGAGCATTTAAACAAAGCAGCACATTCCCATTGTTGCTTCAAGGCAAGACTGTGAACATTAAGAAGTTGTTTTATTTTAATGGGCATATGAAGAATCAAAGGCTATTTTTAAACACTTTTAGTTTGAAATTGTTTTGTGAGGGTGTGTTCACACTCGGGTTTCTTTCTTTTACTATTATTTAGTTCTAGTTTGTTTGGCATCTGGCTGCAATATGGCTGTATATTGGCACTGGTGGGGAGGCGTGTGTTGCCTTAGTGTCCCATCAGTGATGATATACAGCCATATCACACTGCTACGAGTGTGATATTGCGTTTATACAACAGTTTGATGGCATAATCATGTATATAAAAAAGAAAATCAAACACGGATCATTCCACCATGTCATTCGACATCAGAAAAGCAGAAACAATTGCTACTTCACTAACGTCACTTTAGAGCTAGTATTTGAATGATTCTGTAGTGTAATGTCTAAAATGATGACAAAAAAGGTGATTTTGCTGAAATTTTAAGATTATAAGACTAAATGGCAAGAAATATCAGCAATCTAAATTAATTCAGGGTTAATTATTGTGATATCCCGATTGCAACAAAGCAAAGCAAACACTACCAGATTACTATTGTATAAATATAGCAATACAACATACAAAGGAATGCCATTTACCTGTTTAATAATTTATATATGATTTAATTAGTTTGAAATTATGATGAGTTTTTCTCCTTTAAGGGCTTATTATGCTGTCTCTGTCGTCATTCTGTGGATGGACAACGTCAACCGTCTAAGCTCTGCTTAATAACAGGCTGATGGACTGCATCTCTGAAATTTAAATATTTAAAATAGCCACTATACTAATAAACTACATAGTTGCAGCTAAACAACTACATTCTCACCTAAAAAAAACCCTCAAAAGTACATTATGTTGTTCAACAGCTGCAATATTTGTCAAATTGTAGTGAGTTAATTGATCTGCTGTCACTATAAGTGGGCGGAGTAAGACAGAAGGGTAATGAGGCTGTATGAGTGCTGTTATTACAGAATATCACATGGCTATCAGCCAATCAGATTCAAGAACCAGACAGAACTGTTTATTTATATATATATATATATATATATATATATATATATATATATATATATATATATATATATGTATATATATGTATATGTATGTATGTGTGTGTGTGTGATGACAGTAAATAATATTTTACTAGACATTTTTCATGACACTTCTATACAGCTTAAAATGTCATGTAAAGGCTTAACTAGGTTAATTAGGTAGGTTAGGGTAATTGAGCAGGTTATTGTATAATGATGGTTTGTTCTGTAGACAATCAAAAAAAATTAGCTTAAAGGGGCTAATAATTTTGACCTTAAAATGTTTTTTAAAAAATTAAAAACTGATTTCATTTAAGCCAAAGTAAAACAAATAAGACTTTCTCCAGAAGAAAAAAATATTATCAGACATACTTTGAAAATTTTCTTGCTCTGTTAAACATCATTAGGGAAATATATTAAAAAAAAAAAAAAGAACAAAAATTAAAAGGGGGGCGAATAATTCTGACTTTAAATGTGTGTGTGTGTGTGTGTGTGTGTGTGTGTGTGTGTGTGTGTGCGTGTGTGTGTGTGTGAGTGAGTGCGTGCGTGCGAGTGTGTGTGTGTGTGTGTGTGTGTGTGTGTGTGTGTATATATATATATATATATATATCCATCTTTTTTCTGGATTTTTCACTATTGCAAAAAAAAAAACTAAAAAAAGCTTATTACAAATGCCACATAATTTTTGGAAAAAAAAAATTGTATCAGTCCATCAGTTGTTAGTCTTACTCCTCCAAAAGCCTATGAAAGTTCATTGCGTTTCATCTTATCTTCTGAGACGCAAGTCATTTATTATGTAAGAAAGAGGCCCAGAGTGAGAGACTCTGTTTTGATATTTGGTGAAAGTTTATCAGGATGTGACTATTTTATTCTCTTTGTCTATAGATGGAAACATTGGCTTTATTTGCAAATATTACATGCGATGGTCAAGTTTTGAATGGAAACATACTGCCTCTATGACAAGAAACAGCTACACTTGAGCATGCTGTATGGCTTGTCCTGTTTTTGGTTCCTTTAGATATCCATGCTGTATTCATTCTACTCAAAGATGTTTTGGAAGTAGATTAAGACCCATGACCGTTTGTTTTAATCAAACCAAGTGTGAACACACCTAATATCAACTTTCACATTCCTTTCTAAAATACTGTAGTCTACAAACTAAATCCAATCATTAATGATCCATATGCATTGATAAAAACTGAAATACTAGGATGTCTGCGTGAGTTATGAACGAAACTGGTTTGTGTTGGGATGCAGTCTAATGGACAGTGCTCTTTAAGCAGGAAATATCTGGATTATGGAGTAATAATTTGATATATGCAGTACAATACATTTCCTGATGGTGTTTGGCAATAAAATCTGCTGCTTGTTTTCTGAGTGTAAAGATGGTTGTTGTGCATGTTGCTGTTGAGTGTCAAGTGGGCAGGAATGGCAAAATGGTATTTGTGTTTGCCTTGGCACTTTATGCGTTGGGTTGAGAATGTTTGACTATTCCTGCGGTAAGAAAGTGAAGGGCTGTTAAAGGTGGATGTTGTTAAAGGTGTGTAAATGACATGTGAAGTGGGCAAATGTTAAAGTGGAAGTGTTAAGGGTGGATGTGGATATGATGAGGGCTGGTTGATGATGATTTAAGTTTATGTGCTCAACAAGAGCTTGCCGCCAAATGGCTGCATTGATTTAGAGCGTTGTGAATCGTCCAGTGGTATAATGTAGCATGGTACTGTTGCGCTATCGCCAGATTTTCTTTTACATTTATTTATTTACTGTTTGGTCGAGGTTGTGGGTGTTCTTGCTTTTCAAACTGTGACGTCCGACCCAGTAAAGTTTTCAGCAGGAAGATTTGCTGTTTGTGTCATTCTCTGTCTTCCAGCTCATTTTCCTTTAGATCATTCCTTGCCCTTTTCCCCTTTCCTGTTTTTTTATTTATTTATCTATTTATTTATTTAATCTTTTTTGAGAAAGAACAGTTAATAGAACTACCATTATGAATTGAATGGGTTCTTACTGTACTGCTGACTGTTTAGCTTTTTTTTTGGTGTTTTTTTTTATTACTTTTTTATTTATCATCGAATAACTTGAACTTTTCTTGTCTTGTTTTACGTATTTTGGTTCGGTAACATTTCTAGTTTAAATGGATATAGAATAGGAAGATGGAGGCACTTGTTTTTGTATTTTTAGTTTTTTCACTGATTTGTGATTGTAAGGAATCATTAGGATTATTCAGTCATACTGTGACGCTGTTCATCACTTCATTATTAACTTTACTAGCGCTATTAAACCAATAAATGCGACTAATCGCATACAAAACAAACAATGCATTTATATAATAATAATGCATGCACTGCATATATTTATTATGTAAATACAGTGCTCAGCATATGTAAGTACACCCCACACAATCTCTCTTTTAAATTCATGTTTTTAATAGGAGCTATACAATATTATATTTGTGGATATACATTGGATTAGCCAGTACTGAAGCCAAATCTGGAGCGTATCTAACAAAATAACTTATGTTAAAGGTCCAAAAACCAGTACACTCAAATTAATATGTTAGAAAAAAATAATTCAATACAAATTTTTAAAAAGAGAAAAAAAATCAAGGGAAGCAAAAATATATTAAAAAAAATTGTTGAAATTTTATAGGTTGTCATTTTTTTTATTGTATTTAATTGTACTAAATAAAATTTTAATTGTTTCATCTTTCAATTTCTAAATATGTTCTGTGACTAAAGCATTATTTTAATAAATATATCTATTTAATGAATCTGTTTTGTTTAAATGCACTAAAATACATTGCCTACATTCAGTGAGAAATGGATACAAATATTCATTTTCAGAATGGGGTTTACTCAATTATGTTTAACAGTGTATAAATGCACACATTCATGAATAGAAAACATTCACATTTACACAGGTTGTCCGCTGGCTCCTAAAGAGTCTAAAAATGTCTTAATATTTTAGTCAATTTAGGATTTTTAAGAACTAAAATTTAGTTTATGAAATTTCTGTTTTAGGTCTTAAATCATTTTAAACAGGTCTTAATTTAAAAAGAAAAATGTATAAAATAAATAATATTAATAATTGTAAAGCTACTCAGTCGGGCCAACATCAATCACCACCAATACATCTCAATAAAACGTTTTTTTTTTTTATATTTAAGATTTATAGCAAAGAAATACATATTACAACAGTTGTTTTTACAGCAAAAAACGCAATTAAATCATTCCTCATGATAATTCCAGCCCTAAAAATAAAAAGCCCTAAAATTCTTAGTGTTTAACCCAATATAAGTCTAAAATTGAATCTTAAATAACAGGTTTGCTATTTACAGGGTTTTTGCAGGTTTCACCATGTTAAGTTTAAGACATTTTTATGAATGACATTTTAGACTCATACAGGGCTAAACACTAAGGAGTTTTTTTTTTTGGCTCAGGTGGAAATTATATTTATTTGCCCCATCAAAAAAACAATTACAAATATAATACATTTAATAATAAAAATATTTCTGATATTTCTTAGCAAACTATTTTAAATATCGTGTCAAAACAAGCAAGCTTTACTTTTTTCAACAAACTATCTTCAAAATAAAAAAGACAAATGCAAATTAAGACCCGTTTAAAAATATTTGTATATAAATATTATATAGTTGTAAATAAAAATACAACACAATATTTCAGTAAATTTAAGACTTTTTAAGGCCTAAAATTCTGTAGGCCTGTAGACCTGTAGATACCCTGTATTTAAGACTGTCTTAAATTTGACTTGATGAATTAAACGGGTATTTACATACACACACACACACACACACACACACATATATACAGTACGTTACATTTATACATGTGTGCATTCATATTTACATAAAAAATGTACACAGAGCATGCTCATTTATTATGCAAATACAAACTTTTATTTTGATTGTGATTAGTCGCAATTTAGGGTTAAACAGCACTAAACTTTAATATGCACTTGTAAGGGAGCAAAGGGTTTCCTCTCGATGTTCATCGAGGCGGTAGTTTGCATGTGAAGGAAAACTAGCAGAAGGGCCTAAATCAATCATACACTTTTGTATCTCCATATTTTAACTCTTGGCTTTGTATCTGCCTGTAGTAGCACTTTCATACCCATTGCTCTTTTTTTTATAGCTCCGCAGAAAACAAAACAAACAAAAAAAACAAAAACTAAACAAAAGGTCCCTGCTTTGAAAAAGAAAAAAAAAAAAAGTCAAACTTGAAAGCACAGATTGGCCCCTCATGGACTTCATGTAACTTTACTTTTGAGTGATTGTGCCATGTAATACTGTATGTACCGGTGTGTAGATGCAGGGACACAGACACTAATGCTCTACTGTTGTAGAAAAGCTGAGCTGTCGGTGTTTTAGAGGACGATAAAGACACACAGAAGCCCGAGCCGAAGTCATTACTCCCTGAATACTGAACTAGTGTGAGGAAGGGGCTCATAGAAACATGGGCGGCGCGGGCTTCATCCCTCCTAAGCGCACTTTAAAGTGCACACACTGCTGCTACTGTTTGTACTGTCTACAACAGACTTTCTCTATATCGCGCTCCTGGTAGTGTATTATGAATGAGCATGAATTGTAAAGTATTTATTTAAAAATAAACAAATAAAAAAGACAAATCTTTAAAAAAAATAAATAAATAAAAAGAGAGAGAAGAAACTTAAAAGGTTTCTCTTTTTTTTATATCCATGTAGCTTTAGAGTTTGTGACATTTCTTGACCTTGCTAGCTCTGTCATTAGATCCACGTTAAGAACTAGTGGTGTGGTTAAGAGTTTTTCATGAGGGAATTAACAGAAAAATATATAAAAATAAATAAAGAACTGTATTACCATCCATCATATTACACATGGGAAAAAAAAAGAAAGAAAGTTTATTTCCTTGAATACAGTATAGATCCCACACGGAAAGCTTATCTGCAAGAAACTGTTTTTGTACACTGTACATCCTAGTATTTTTACACGTAAATGTATATGATAGGGATGCACATTATTTTCCTTCTTACAGGCGGCTTAAATAAAGCACTGTCAATCTGCTCTGGCTCCAGTCCCGTCTGTTTGACTTGTTTGCACCTGATAAAACATTCACAATTCACAACACACCTTTAGAAGCTGCTGCTAATTTATGAAAGCAACATTCACACCTTAGGAATCATTTATAGATATTTAACCCTATGGTGTTGTTCAGCCATTTTCAAACAACATTATAATGATTATTAATTACTTTTAAATGGTATGGAGAGATATTGACACATTGAAAATAGGGCCATAATTCTGAAAAAAATGCAGGGGTAATAGTAGAATGGTCACAATTGTGTGGTTTATGGTCAAATATGTCCGCACTGGGTAAAAAGCAGACATGTTTGTTACAGTCTTTATTTTTTATTTTTTAGATGACAGCTGAACATTTGAAAGATGCCTTTATTGTTTTGGAAGATAAACATTTCATATTAAATTTGAAGTGGAGTTTAACGGCTCGTTACTAAATAAAGGGCGTCAATGTGATCGTGCAAAACTGCGCAAAACAGCAGGCGCAAAAGCGTCATTTTCAAAAAACATCTCATGCTTGTTTTTTTTTTTTTTTTTTTTTGACGCGCCGCATTAAAGCCTTCTTCACCAATCAGATTGGCACTTTTGTTCACGTGCATGGATCTGCTGAAGTTACAGTAAACAGCACTTGGAGGCGCTCAAGCGCAAAACTGTCAATGCGAGCGCACACAGAAGAAGATGCCCAGAGGCATTATGAACGTCGCGCTGCTGAAAGCACTGGTGAATAATAATTATTATAATAGAGCAGGAGCTTCTGCTTGAACCATCCGTAACAACAAGCGTGTCAACTTTCTGTGTTACAAGCGGGTGTCAGAAGCTTAAAGTTGTGTAGCACCATCTAACGTCAAGAAGTGATTTTGCATACACTTCTGCTCAACGCCAGTGAAAATCGCTTGGGGAAAAACGTCTTGAAAAAACTCTGGCGATAAACGCAAAGCGTCCTGTTGTGTACGAGACTTAATTCTATTTTTTTTCTGTCAAATGTGTGCTCTGAACTGTTCAAGATTTACTACAGTTTACGGTGGACAATTTACTTTGGTGCCATAAAATGTATTAGTGCTTTTTAGTACTGAATAATACCATTAAAGGGCGCCTATTTTACTATTTTACAAGATGTAAGATAAGCCTTTGGTGTCTCCATAATGTGTCTAAAGTTTCAGCTCAAAGTACCCATCGGATTATTTATTATAGCCTCCAGAATCTGCCCATTTTGGTGTCTGAATACAGTGTAGTTGTTGTTTTTTTTTGTCTAGCATGTGGCTTTAAATGCAAATAAGCTGCTTCTCTCCGCCCACCTTTTCCACATGCATTATGAAAAGCAGACATGTGTTATGTCAGATAAACAGCAGTCAGTGACAGAAACAGACTCGGATGAAGTTAAAATATAGCTCAATAGTCCAAAATACCAATTAAGTTTATTTCATGTATTTGTGTCGGACACACACTCATATGTATAAATGCGCGTTTACTGACACCATGTGGCCGTGGTGATTACAGTAGTTAAGAATTACCTTTTGATTTTACTGTCTTTATTACAAACATGCTCTGTTTTAGAAACGTTTTAAACAAAATGTGAGCTGTACTATGAGTTGTAATATATAATTTAATCCCAGTTTATTTGCAAAAAAATGTTCTGTGGACATGTGTATACATGTTATTATGGAAACATGGCACCTGTCAACCAATTCAATGGATTGGGAAAACCGCATCTCTACGTTACGTTGTTGTGGGCCTCAAAATTTGGGCCCAATTTTAACATTAGGAAAAACAAAACAAAAATAAACTTGTGTTTTTATCATTCCCATATGACAGTGTACACATACATTCACACAGTTCAGTCAAAACAGCTAACAAAAGTTGATTTTCCATATAGGTGTACCTTTAAAATTACTAAATTTTATTTAAAAATTTAATAATATATTATACATTTTATTCATTAAAATATAAATATTATTCTTAGTAATCATTTTCACTAAAGGTTAATACATTTTATAGAAAGTACTAACTAATTTATATAAACCACACCATTAAAATAGCTCCTGTTATACAATAACACATTCAATTGTTTGGCTTTGCTGTAATACATAGTAAAAAACACTATATTTATATAGTATATATATATATATATAGTGTGTTTTTTACTATGTATTAGAGCAAAGCTACACAATTGAATGTGTTATTGTATAACAGGAGCTATTTTAATGGTGTGGTTTATATAAATTATTATTATTATTTTTTTTAATTATTATTATTTATTTTTTGTTGTATTTTTAATAACCACATGTATAGAGTTTCATCAGACTTCATTGAAAGATTTTTAAGAAACTGTAAAAAATCTGTCATACATATGTCCACACTTGAGCACATCTACAACTTCAATGACCCTGGCCAGAACCTTTAATGAAATAAAAATGAACACATGAAGATACATAACTATTTACATTAAGACACATGTAATTGTGCGCTAAAATGACTTGTGGGATTAGTCATACAGTTATGACTCCACATACCTACTTTTAAATGTATTCAAATAAGTGCACTGTGGCTCAAGCTGAAGTATATTTTCAAAATGTGTATTGCGTCTCACTTTGGCAGAAGTAAACGTATAAGCACAGAATTGATCCCCTCACACAGCCAGCCTGTCCATTCTCTTCCCAGCATGCACCTGCGGAAAAAGATAAGCACAGAAGACAACGACTTGGTAAGAAACTTATGTTAAGAACAACTCTGTTGGCAATTTATCCTGTGGTTTAAATTCCTTTGTTTGGCATATTCGGTGTTAACGTGGAAATCTTTTGATGCTTGGAAGCAGAAAACCCATGAGATGTTTAAAAAACGTGACAAAAAAAAAAAAGTGCTAAATACTTAAACAAACCAAATAGAAGTTATAGACTGGAGAACAAACAAAACAGCTTAAGCTCAAAGTCAAAAAGCTGTGCACTCCCAGTCAACCCCACCAGCCACATCACCTTCCCTGTTGACCTGCAGAAGCCACAGACTCAAAAAGAAAATAAAATAAAAATAATAATAATCAAAAGATATAAATAGCTGGCGCGACGCAGTGGCGCAGTAGGAACCGCCAACTTATCCAGCACGTTTCCATGCAGCGGATGCCCTTCCAGCTGCAACCCATCTCTGGGAATCATCCACACACACTCATTCACACACATTCATACACTAGGGACAATTTAGCCTACCCAATTCATCTGTATTGCATGTCAGGACTGTGGGGGAAACCGGAGCACCCGGAGGAAACCTACGCGAATGCAGGGAGAACATGCAAACTCCACACAGAAACGCCAACTGAGCCGAGGCTTGAACCAGCGACCTTCTTGCTGTGAGGCGACAGCACTACCAACTGCGCCACTGCGTTGCCCTTGAAAATGTATCATTCAAAAATATTTTACGCCTTTTAAAGGTCCCTCTAGTTGTCATGGCTTCAGTCATTGTTGGGATACTCTTTTAAATCTGAAAGTATTAACAACTTGTACAGAAATATACATTGCTATCTTTCAATATGCAAACTAATTATGGAGGCTACATTTTTGCCATATCGCCCAGCCTCTACAATGCAATATAGTTCACCCCAAAATGAAAAAAATTAATAAATAAAAATAAAAACACACCACTTGACAGTTTACTCATTCTCAAGTTGTGATTTTAACACAAAAGATGCTGAAACCAGTAGTCAATGAGTCCATCTATATTAGACTGTCTTTCATTTTTTTCTACTATGGAAGTCGTGAGTGATTAAACGTGAATACACGCAGTGCTGCAGTACTGCGCGGCACAGCACAAAATGATCTAGAACAAGAAACACATGACCAGCAGGGGGCAGTTATGTACCAGTGAACATGCAGAATTGATATAGCAGTGCACACACAAAGAAGCAACGGAAATTAAATAGGCTAATCGTGAGTGTCTCATCAATATCATGATTTTTTTTTGTCATGATAGTTTGCTGCTAAGGGTTTGAATGTTATTTAATTAGAAGCATAAACATAAATACCTCAATAAAAATATAATAAAAAGCAAATTGCAAATTAACAAATGAGCAAATTAACTTCTGCAACTCTATCATAATTTCACTTTAGTTCAGTTTTTTGCTTATTCAAAAGAAAGAAAAAAAAAGTGGTTCGATATTCTTACCTCCAGAACTGTCGTGAGTGTTTGCACTCCTAAAGAATGGTCTTGCATTTACAAAAGCCACTGCTCGCTCATTGCATTTCGTCTTCTGAGGCGCAAGTAATTTCATAAAGGGTTCGTACACATTTTACTACTAAAATTCCATGACTTTTCCTAGACTTTTTCAGAACTTTAAAGTACATTTTCATGACGTAATGTTTCATGTAATGTCTACATTACATGGTGAATAATAAAAAAACAATGATGTGCAAATTTATAACAGCATATCACAGAACACGCAACAATCTATTTTGTTTAAATTTGTTTATATCCATGTAAAACTGATTTTGATTATGCTTACACAGCACTAACAATGTGAGAGCAAGTTTTTGGCCACCTATTCAAGTTAGGGCTGCACAATATGTCGTTTCAGCACCGATATTGCAATGTGTGCATCCACAATAGACACATCGCAAGATATGCAATGTTAGGATTGTAGTTTAATATAGGAGTTTAATCATAATGGAGTAAAAGTTTATCATCTGCATGCATTTTTAAAGAGAGAGTTCACCCAAAAATTACCTACCATTTTCATTACACCCTTCACTTGTTTCAAACATTTATGAGTTTTAGTTTTTTAAATAAACACAAAAAGAATATAATTTATTAACTCCTATAGTGTTGAAACAAGTGAAGTGTGAGTAAATAGTGAGTCTATTTTAATCTTTGAGTTACTTTCCCTTTAAGGCCTGTGACTGTGTAGGCATTTCAATATTTCAAATTTTAACACATCCAGCCACAGGAAATGTTTTTGAAACTATAATAAAGATTAAATAATATGTAATAAAGACTGTGCGGAGTAGATTATTCAATATCTGTACCTGAATAGTGAATACCTGAAAACTATAATTCACTTTTATCTTTACTATATTTTATTTATAGCAATATATCACAGAAATACATAATACCGTAATGTTAGATTTTTCCAACATCGAACAGCCTAATTCAAGTATACAGATAATTGTTAAACTAATTTCCATTACTTTTTGAAATTTTGTGGGTTTTTCTGTTTTTACAAAACTTTTCCAGGACTGAAAAATAGCTTATCAAAGTTCGATGACTTTTCCATGTTTTCTATGACCCTATGAACTCTGTTTATATATAAGAAAAAATGACAACATCTTCTGACAATATTCCTTTGACTGATTTTCAACATTCTTCAGAATATCTTCTTTTGTGTTCAACAGAAGACAAAAACTCAAAAGAGTGAGTAAACGATGATAGAATAGTCATTTTTTGTGAACGAGCCTAGCATGACTGCTAGTGAGGAATCGGTCAGCGTGGCAGCATGTGGGTGTTCTTACACAAATGCTCAGAGGGAGAAGCTGAATTACTGACTCGCTCTAATAACAAAACAACAGCATGGTAGTATTAACAGAGCCGAAAGCGGCGGCGCTTTGCGGAGCATCGCTCCATTTGCAATAATCTCCAACGAATGTCAGCATTGGGCGATTGACGTGCCTCTAGCAGCAATCTGGATGAGCATCTGTGGGCGCCTCGTCTAGCGTGATGTGCAGCCTTGACTACCAGCTGCTGCGCTGCTTGTGCTCCACTCACTCACACACATCCAGGTCACACTCGCTGCAAAACTCACATCCAGTACAGTACAGTACTTTATCACCATTTATAGTCATTAACGTATTTAAAAACTGTTTAAGCATGGAAATCGTTACTACAATGCATACAGGTATTTTAGTGTCTCATTACTGTCAGTGATGTTTTAAATTACACAGTCATCAGCCAGTGGCATATAAAAGGACTTTATCAGGAAGAGATAGTCACAGTAACACTTTATATGAAGGGGTGTTCATAAGACTGTCATGACACCTTTATAATCATGGCATGACAGGTGATTTGCATGCTTTTGATAACTCCGGAAGTGTCAGTTTGTTCAGTTACTGTATGTCAAATACATATTTCAAATGCAATTGTGAGCTTGTTTGAGATGACATTATGACATAACCAAAGATGTCACAACCAGTCTGTGTCATGACAACTTGACATTACTAAGCCTTTGTCATAAACATAATTATCAGTAGGCTAATATAATTGAATAGTTCTTACTAAAAGTTGCATTATATATCCTTTATTAGCTATATGCTAATGTCACATTAAAATGTACTGTAGAAGGTAATATCTAAACTTGGATACGTGTGTTAAAGGTGTAGACGGAGCTTGCAGATCTTACAGATGCACAAACATTTTACAGCAGAAGGTAAATATCATGAAGCATCAAGCGGCCTCTTGAGGGCATGAGTGTGTGTTTAAGAGAGACTGACCTGGCTTTTCAGGCTGTGCAGGTCTTCAGTGAGCTGCTGACGCTCCTGCATGAGCTGCTTCTGTCTGCTGAGGAGCTGCAGCACCTGCTGAGAGCTGGCCTGACAGTGCTGGTCCAGCTGCTGCAGTCTGAAAAACACACACAGAGAAAGACAGCTGAAACAAATGGACACTTCACCACTCTGAAGATTCACAAATCTTTTATCAGCCTGGGTGTTTCTCAACAGCATGATTATTGACAGAATTTGTGAGAGGTTGTAGAGGAAATCTGCTTGAGAAGGGGATATTTATAAAAGGTGAACATTAAACAGATTGTTACTAAGTCTGAGGGTTTCGGGGTGCGGGAAAAGTTGACGTCCTGACAATTGTGATTTTTTAGTTTCTTAAAAATGTCTCAATGAAGTCTGATGAAACTCTATCCATGTGGTTAGTAAAAATACAAAAAGCAAAATATATACACAATTGAAGTCATAATTATTAGCCCCCATTAGAATTTTTTTTCCCAAATGATGTTTAACAGAGCAAGGAAATTTTCACACTATGTTTGATAATATTTTTTTCTTCTGGAGAAAGTTTTATTTTGTTTTATTTCAGCTAAAATAAAAGCAGTTTTTATTTTTTTATGAACCATTTTAAGGTCCAAATTACTAGCCTCTTTAAGCTAATGTTTTTTTCAATAGCCTACAGAACAAACCATCATTATACAATTACTTGCCTAATTACCCTGTCCTGCCTGATCAACCTAATTAACCTACTTAAGCCTTTAAATGTCACTTTAAGCTGTATAAAAGTGTCTTGAATATCTAGTAAAATATTATTTACTATCATCATGGCAAAGATAAAATAAATCAGTGATTAGAAATGAGTTATTATACTATATGTTTAGAATTGTGTTGAAAAAATCTGCTCTCCGTTAAACAGAAATTGGTGGAAAAGTAAACGGGGGGGCTAATAATTCTGACTTCAACTAATATACATATACATATATATATATATACATATATATATATATATATATATATATATATATATATATATATATATATATATATATATATATATATTTTACACACACACACACACACACATACACATATATATATATATATATATATTAAAAAAAAATTTTTTTTTAAACAAGCACTGAAATAAGCCACTAAATTTATTTGTTAAAGGACAGTTTTAATGACAACATGATGAACCCCTCACTCACATTGAACAGTTTATTTAACTTCCGTAAGAGACTTTACGTTACAAGTGTTCGCGAAAGACAGTCGATGCCATCAATATTAATAGTGATTTTTGGACAGTGCTCCCAAAAGTGAATATTATGCCATTAGATTTGTCATTGTTGACTCATCACTTTAAACATGATTTTTCTTCTACAGCACAAAGTATAAACCAACTAAATTTTGTAGTGTCTAATGTGCGCATAAAATGTATATATTTTTTTCTTTTCTCTCCAAAAGTCTTGAGTGACAAAATCTTAATGTTCTTATAATTGTATATCTTTTGATCTCCTCACACACATGCTTATTTCTTTTCTGACTTTGGGACAGTAGATGTTTCCATCCAAAGATGCAATTTAGATTCATGCACAAAACTTTAACATTACATAAATCATTTGTAAATAAAGCACAATTCCCATTCAATGAGTTAAAAGAGTAATATTGTCACTTATTGTGAATATGCTGCAGTAGGAGAAGATACGCCCTTTTTTTTCTTAGATAAGAAATTACTTGCGGGGCTGCACGGTGGCGCAGTGGGTAGCACGTTCGCCTCACAGCAAGATGGTCGCTGGTTCGAAATTACTTGCACCTCAATAGACAAAATGCAATGAACGAGCAGTGACTGTTTGTATGTGCGAGACCACTCTTTTGAAGCGCAGACAGTTCAGGAGGTAATAATCTCGAACTACTTCTTTTGTAATTATTTTTTTGAATTTTCACCTTTAATTTGGATAGGACAGTCGAGTTAACAAACAGGAAAGTATTGGGAGCAGAGAGACGGGAAGGGTTGGCAAATGACCCCAAGATAGGAACAAACTCAGCTCGACGTGAGCACCATGGTGCTACATATCGGTGTAATTAACCATTAGGGCTATTGACGCCAATAAACCACTTTGATAACACAAGTTGTCTGAGGAATTTTAGAATGTCCAAAATAACAATTCAGATATTTTACAATATGGTCAGTCTGCTGGTTTGTACAATAAATGCTGTACTATCACACCAAACTTTGTTATCTCTTAATCTGTATGATCTGTTCACATGTAAAATCACATGACTCTTTGATGCAGATGCATAAAAAGGTTAAAGGGCACTTATATTAGTCCTTTTTCAAGATTTAAGAGAAGGCTTTTGTGACTCCTTAAAGTGTCTTTAAAGTTTTAGCTAAAAACACCAGTCAGATTATCTATTACACGTTTTAGAACACAATCACAATCAGAACACAACATTGAACACAATCTCTGCCTCGGCTGTGTCAGATAAACAGCACAGTGACAGACATAAAGGAAGCAGATCTCACACAACCTGTGTGAAAAATACTACAGTAAGAACTTTACCAATGATTATTTTATGTATTTGTTGTGGAGTTTATTCAAGCCTTTCAATGAGTCACACACAATGTCGATACAAAGTTCACACAGACGCACACACACTTTGAGCTTTTAACTTTGAACTTGCAAAATATGACAGGATACACGTTAATATCCACTGCTGTATGGATATCTACGTATCATGTTACAAAAAAAACCTAATTTAATGTCCACAAACCGGGATTGAAGCATCTACTTTTATAATTGTACTGACATGTGGCTGTGGTGATAAAGAAAGTAAAAATCCCTGTAATTCATTACAAACATGCACTGTTTTAAAAACGTTTTAAACTGATTCTTGATCACATTTGATGATTGATGATCACAGCAAGCTGAACAGATCTTTCAATCCCAGCTGATTTGATTATCTGCGTCACTATGGTGACATTATATACACGCAGCTGTCAATCAAATTGGTGGGAGGGGAAATCACACTCCTATGTCACATTACGGTGGGCCCTTAAAAATGGGAGGGATTTGGATCCTAGTTTAACGTCAGGAAATTAAAAGAAAAATAGAATAAAATCTTATTGTGTTTTTATCACTCCAATATGACAGCGAACACACTATACCTACACACAGTTCTGTCCAAACAGCTTACAAATTCTGATTTTCACCATAGGTGTCCTTTAATATATAGGCATTTTTCCAAAATTCAAGCTCATCTTGGCATTTCCATTAAACATTTTTAGCGCAATATTCCAAAATCTGCATGGATGCAAAAAGCTGGATGCAACAGAGCTAATGTCTATGGAGCTGTTTAGTTTAGAATGGTTAAAAATCTTTCAGTAATACAAAAAACATATGTTTCATCAACTGAACAATCAGTATGTTGTTGAACAGTCCAATTTATAGTACCTCATGCGCATGTGTGTTGACAATTAAACGGTTAAATATGGTTGCAAAATAAATATAATGAAATAAAAGACAAAGGTCAAAAGACAACTATCTAAAATGTCATACTTATAAAGTCGAAGCAGAAGCATACATACATTTAGATATATGTACAAATGCGGACCAACATTAAATAAACATTTTTCAAAAAGTCCAAGAGCTACTGTTCAGGATTTCTACAGTGGTGAAAACAGACAGAAAAATGGCCCCTGTCCATAACCATCAGAACTCTTTCTGGCCTGCCAATCTCTGGTAAGTCAGTAGGTTTGTATCTGTCTTTCACAAATGTCGTTCTCCTCTGATTCCTTAAATCCTGGCTTTTTGGGCAGCAGAGGACTTGATCTGCGTGCACTAGACAGCTTGTTCCTGTCCTCCGGCCTCAGTGTCTTTGACCGTCTCGAGCGCTGTTGTTCTTTTGTCTTGCGCTCTTTCATTGCGCTTGTTTCCCGGTGTGATCTGGACAGGGCTGATCTCAGGGCTGTGGTGGGCATCCTGTCCCGTGCTCAGGCCCTGCTGTGTGGGGAGCTGGCGCCACTACTGTTGCCCACCTCCAGAGTCTGGCAGCACTGTGACACTGGCCATAACCTCCTCCACACACACTGCTCGGCTCCAAATGTTCTTCTGTATCAGCGCACACATCCAAACCTTCATCCACTATCCTTTACTAATTCATCTGCTATTGTTTACCAAAACAAGATATCAACAACAAATAGAAGAATACGAGCAACTTAAGAAGTGAGCTGTAATAACATGCGCATTATGTGTAAAGCAGCTAAAGCTCTGTTAGCGTGCCATCTGTTTTTCTGACACAAGGTTTTAATTTCCACACAAAACACAGGTTTTATTGTTGGAGTCTGATTAATATTAGTTAAAAAAGGAATTAAATAATTATAATTAGCTCATTTTACATTCCAAGCAAACAAGTATAAACCATTATAACATCTAAATTCATAAGACATGATCTTACACCAAATGTAAATCGTTAACGAGGTCATGAATTGAGAACTTGAACTTGGTATGTTGTCTTATAAGATATTTGTAGCATTGAAACACATTTTAAAGCTTAAAATGTCCTAATAATGGACAAAGCTTTTATTTATTCAAACTTTATTCCAATTATCATTTGTACATGAAGTTGCATGTTAAATCCTGAAAGCATGTACATTATTTGCATATACAGTACTGTACTCCACCTTCAGAGCAAGACTTTGATTAATCCGCTTATTAAATCGGCATCGCATGACGCAACTTCCAGGTCAGATCAGACTATATGTTGAGGACCATTAAATAGTGCTAACAAACACTTACAATGCGCTGTATTATTTTTAAAAAACATGATCTGAATTTTATCCATGCATTTAGGTATCACATGGCCAGAAAAAGATTGATTTGCTTAATAAATAGTTAATTATTAGTGTCTAATGCCAGAGACTGTAGTGTACACTATAATTTATATTTTAAAGAAATTCACTTTAATGCGTGACATGACTAAAAAATCATAAAAGATTATTTTTTATTCAAATGAGCAGCCGATTGGATCCAGTAAGTCATGACTTAACAAGCGAATAGCTCTACATCACATCAAAGGCCCCGCCCAGAGACCAAATGTGTCAATAATTTGAGCACAAAAATCAGT